GAAAGAAAAGGGGGGATCCGAGGATCGCTTAAAACCCGATTTTCCCATGGAATGGGAGGATCATGATAACCGCTTAAAATCCCATTTACTTAGACATGCATCTCTTTATAAAGAGTTGAAGTAAGTGGCGCTATATATTCGATTAAATTATTGAAAACAACCAATACGATTAAAAATGATCAAATTTATTTTATATTTCACTAAGTACATTAGCAAAATAAAAGAAAGACAAATGATGAAGAATTGTATGTACCTCGTGATCGTTCCAAACATCCCTTGAACGATGGTTGGGTTGGTCGTACAAGTCGGTTGGATCAATAGGTCCTTGGTCAACATAATATCGTTGGTTGTATATATTCACTTCGTCCCCAACCTACGAGAGAATAACAACAAGGTTAGTACATAGTTTAATTAAAAAGGTTATAACAACAACAAAAATTTGGTAAAATGAGTACGTACCACTTGAAATTCATCATAATAAAATCCCTCTTCTTGGAACCACTCGTCCATTTTTTTGCGAAAGTCGGACAGAGATTCGGCGGGTTTTGAAGGAAAAACCACAGAAATGTTTTCTGAGGGCAGATCGGACTTAGCCGCAACAAACAGACCACTATTTCCTAGGCTTTTGGGAGGTGAGGGGGATGGATAGAGAGATAATTTTAGAGAGAGAGTGAAGAATGGATTGTGGTGTGAAAAAATGAGGAGGGGAGGGGGTATTTATAGTTGCCGACCGCACCCTCCATGGGCGTTTTAGTAATTTTGCCCTTGCTAGAACCACATCTAGAGGGTGCGGTTCACGTTTCACGAGGCACAAAACCGCAACAAGGAGGAGCGGTCTTCAATCCTCTACACGGATCGCTGAGCTGGCGTGCGGTCTGCCGTTGGATCGCCGCCTAATCCAACGGTCTTGGGGGCCGCTACGTCGGAAACACAAACCGCACCCAATAGATTCGTTTTTCTGGCTGACCTGGAAAGGAACGCACCTCTAAGGTGCGGTTTATAGATAAAACGCACCTTCACCGTGCGGTTTGAAAATAAAGGTGCTATTTTTGTAATTTTTTTTTTAAAGGGTGCTATTATTGGAAAAATCCCAAATGAAGAGGAAGTCAAAATCAAGAAGAGAATCACCATGGTGACGTCTCCTCCTTCAGTATTCTTTGTTCTCTCTGTATTTAATATTTATGGATAGCTAAATACCAAGATTATTCAGATTGTGTGGAACCATAAGAATGATGGTTGATTTCGTAATGGATATTTATTTAATCTTTATGAATATTTTCTTGTCAATAAGATTTTGTATTTACTCGAAACTATTTTCTCACGTGTCAATAACTTCGAACATGTTTTGTGTCAGATGAGGCTGGACACGAGCATCTCTCACAATCGATCATCAATTTTAAACTACTTAAACTCCTCAAGTGAGAAATCTGTACGATCCATTGTAACCTATAAGATCAAATAATCGTTAGAGATAAAATATGATGAAATATTTTACTAAAGATCCAGTGGTAATTCACATGACATTAAGAATTTCGTCAGACCTAGGGGAAAACACAATCTTGATAAATGATAATCACCTTTAATCCTTCCCTTATTTTGATTTACAAATTGAAAGGTTTTACAAAATATGGATGCGACTTTTAATTCTGAGTAACTGTTAGCGGTGATGGGCTGAGTTGGGCTATGATTGTATTTGGTTGGTTTGTCCCATTGTTGTAGTAGCATGTACGTAGGAGTTTGGGGCGGTAGAAACCGAGCATCAGTTTGAACCCATTTGGCGAGTTCTTCAGCAGACGACGGCGGGACTTGAGGCCGCATCGACGTACCATCCAGGAACGGAAGAAGGCCTTTGCCTTCAATGAAGATACGAAACTGGAACTCCCACAACGCATAATTCTTGGAGTTCAATCAAACCGGAACCCTATCATAATCCAAAGACGATAGCTCTGATACCATGTTAGCTAGAATCAAATACGAAAACGAAGAAGGAAACAAGACACACTGTTTACGTGGTTTCCCCGAGATCGGGACTAGTCCACGGGAGAGCTAGCACTCTCCGAGCTGATGATCTTATTAGGTTTTTCCTTGAGTTGGTACATCGTCAGTTTACATGTATATATATTTGCCTAACCCTAGCTCACGTAATCACTTGCTAGGGCTCGGTTTCTACCGCCCCAAACTCCTACGTACATGCTACTACAACAATGGGCCAATCACAAACCAACCAAATACAATCATTTTCGGGTGCACTTGCTTTGTACTTCTTCCGCGTAAAGAGCGATTTAAGTTGTCCTCGAAAACATCTAAGTGCGTCTTTCTCGGTTATAGCGACATTCATAAGGGGTATTTATGCTACGATCCTTCATGTCAACGTCTTCGTATATCGTGTAACGTAGTTTTCTTTGAGCGTCTTATGTTTTACTCTAGTACCCCTGAGAATGTGTCCTTTCTCTCTGAGGTGACTCGACTTCCCATGTTTGACGATGATGAGGAAGTGGAAGAAGACTTAATACTCCCCCCCGACTCGCCTGCCCCATCAACCCCGGCATCCAGTAGTTCCGACTCTTCTTCGGCCAGCTCATCCCCGACTTCGACCAGCAGTTCTTCGTCAGGTGCTTCTCCCTCCACCAGCAGCTCCTCGTCCGCAGAGTCCCCACCCTCCTCGCCTCCTGTCCCTCGTCGCTCACTTCGGGCTAATAAGGGCCAACTACCCATCCGGTACAATGATTTTGTGTCCTATAATGTTGAAGCTTTCACTATACCTACTTCATATAAACAGGCAATGCTCGACCCCAATTGGAATAATGCCATGCAGACTGAGTTTGATGCTCTTCATGCCACGGGTACATGGGAGGTAGTGGATCGCCCTCTGGAGCCGGTTACGATTCTAGGTAATCGGTGGGTGTATGTTGTCAAAGTAAAAGCGGATGGCACTCTTGAGAGATTTCGGGCTCGACTTGTAGTCCAGGGGTTCGGTCAAGAGTATGGTCTCGACTACGACGAGACTTTTGCTCCGGTGGCAAAAATGCAAACCGTTCGGACTCTTCTTGCAGTAGCTGCGGTTCGGGGGTGACCGTTGTTTCAGCTCGATGTTAAAAACGCGTTCTTACATGGGGATCTCAAGGAGGTGGTGTACATGCGACGTCCTCCAGGGTATACGATTGGACGTGATGATCAGGTTTGTCGGTTACGTCGCTCCCTCTATGGTCTCAAACAAGCACCTCGTGCTTGGTTTGAGAAGTTTCAGAGTACAGTTTTGGCCCTTGGTTTTCGGCAGAGTAGCAACGATCCATCTTTGTTTTTACGATCTTCGTCTGCGGGTCTCATTGCACTTCTTTTATACGTTGATGATATGATCATCACTGGCGATGATGTTACAGGGATTCAGAAGCTCAAAGCGGGACTTCATGCGTCATTTACATTGAAAGATCTGGGCTCGTTATCTTACTTTCTCGGGCTGGAGATTACTCGATCCCAGCAGGGTATTCTTTTGAGTCAAAGGAAATATATTGGGGATTTGTTGTCTTCTGCACAATTTGGTGATTGCATTCCTGTCTCTACGCCCATGGAGGTTAATTTGCATCTTAGTCGTGACTCGGGAGTTCCGATTGTTAATCCGTCTCAGTATCGTGATCTGGTTGGTAGTTTGATATACCTCACCCATACGAGGCCGGATATTTCATTTGTCGTCCATGTGGTCAGCCAGTTCATGTCCGATCCTCGCGTTGATCATCTCTCTGCTGTTCATCGGATACTCCGGTATTTACAGGGTACTCGTGACGTTGGTCTTTTTCTTCATGCTACTGGCAATCTATGTTTACAGGCCTATTCCGACTTAGATTATGCAGGCTGTGTTGATACTCGGCGATCGACAACCGGGTGGTGTGTTCAGGTAGGTGGTGCTTTTGTGAATTGGAGGTGTCGGAAACAGGATAAGGTGTCCAAGTCCTCGACGGATGCTGAATATCGTGCTATGTCGGATGTCGCTTCCGAGTTGGTTTGGATGCAGCGCCTTCTTCTCGATCTTGGTGTTACATGTCCATCCCCGATTACTCTTCATGTAGACAACACCAGTGCTATTCAGATAGCGGTCAATCCTGTGTTACACGACCGGACTAAACACATCGAGATACACGTTCACTATGTTCGTGATCTGGTTCATGAGGGGTTTCTCGTGGTTCGTCATGTTGCTTCCCTTGACCAGCTCGCGGATTTATTCACGAAGCCTTTTCATCGCTCGCGCCATATGTTGCTGTCGGACAAATTGATGCTTCGAGACCAGCATCAATTTGGGGGAGGCTGTTAGCGGTGATGGGCTGAGTTGGGCTATGATTGTATTTGGTTGGTTTGTGATTGGCCCATTGTTGTAGTAGCATGTACGTAGGAGTTTGGGGCGGTAGAAACCGAGCCCTAGCAAGTGATTACGTGAGCTAGGGTTAGGCAAATATATATACATGTAAACTGACGATGTACCAACTCAAGGAAAAACCTAATAAGATCATCAGCTCGGAGAGTGCTAGCTCTCCCGTGGACTAGTCCCGATCTCGGGGAAACCACGTAAACAGTGTGTTTTGTTTTCTTCTTCGTTTTCGTATTTGATTCTAGCTAACAGTAACATATTGATTAGAGTTCTCGCATGAATATGATATAATTAGTCTTCGTATCTACACGGTTAAATTTAACTATATTCTAACAAATAAAAACGAAAAATCACCGGTACAAATTGTATAACACCCCAAACATTATCTATCGTCGACGCCACTGTGTCTTGCTGGTCCTAACGATTTTTGAACTTGACTAACTTTTTTTTAATCATAGGCAAACTTGACTAACTTGCAATACAAGCAAGAAATGAAATCACTCAAACAACCGATCGATAGTTCGAAGAAACAATTTGCAAGAATGGGTCACAAGCTATTCGACCAACCCAATTGTCCCTTGTAGACTGTAGTAGTGTGTTCAATTTATAAATCGAAATCAAAAGAAATTGGAAAAGCAGACCTCCATTAAAGAAAAGTTGAAACTTGAAAAAAAAAACAGAGCAGTATCCAAGCACCAAACAAGCCAGTCAACGAAGGGATGCGAAAGCCAAGTAGGAAACTCTATCCACAAATCCACCCAACTCAGCTTAAAATGATTAAACAATATAGTACAGCCTACAATCAAGCATCCTTCTTCTCAGCTCACCACGTGTCCCTCCAACTCAACACGTACCCGTCGCCGGCCAATCACGGCGTCGCGTGCCTGACACTGACAGTAAAATATAACCCACGCTCCACTCGGCGGCGGGCCCCACGACGTCTTATCCATCCAGAAAGAGAGACCCGCAAAGCAAGCAAAGGCGGCCCGCCGGAGTTGTGGCATCTCTCCCTCCACGTGACGCACAGAGGCCCAGTCTGAGTTGCCAGTGGGCCACAGGCCCAGCTCGGATCATTAATGCTGCCAATTTTGCTGCCGTCATCTCATCCCCCCAAGGCTGAAAAAATGAGGCTCCCGGTCTTTAATTAATTTTTTATTTGAGGTAAATACATTTACACGGTGGGGGTGCTTTCGGTATTTTATATCACAGGCACTTCCGACAGGACCAGGCACGTGACAGCCGCCATTTTGGGTGGAGTTAAAAAAGGAGAAACGGAGCAGAGTAGCGGCGGAAGGCGGGAGTTCTGTCCTGTGCGCTTTGGGATGAAAACAGAGGATTAGGGGGAAGTCGACGGAGAAAGCGAAAGGAAGAAAAGCCAGCTAGCGGCGACGCAAAACCCAAATCGGACGAGTTTTAGCTAATCTCCACGAGAAGGAGTTTTTTTTTTTTTTAGAGATGGTTGAGTTGGTTAGCTCTTCCCCTGGAGTGAAGGTGGAGGCAGAATCCGACGGCGGCGGCTCTTCCTTGGAGGATCATCGCCGGCCTGGCCGCCTTCACAAACGCGCGAAGCTAGAGCTTTCTCTACAGGTGATTTCTCTTTTATCTTTCTCCCTCTTCCTTTGTCCCTGTAACTAATCAGGCATGAGATGAGAATTGATTAGCTGAGCTTCTGCAGGAACTGGATGACCCACTTGAGGAGCCGAGCCCTTTGGGCTTGCGTCTGAAAAAGACTCCATCTTTCTTAGATTTGGTCCAAACCAAGCTCTCCCGGGACAAGACCGATGGCGGGAAGAAGGGCACCGCCAGTTCATCTGCTGCTGACACAAACAAGCTCAAAGCATCCAACTTCCCCGCTACGCTCCTGAAAATTGGGGATTGGGAGGTACCCTCAGAATGAATTTACCCTAAACTTAAATTTGCTTCAGTTCAGTTACAGTTTCAGATTTCATTTCGAAATTGTTGATTTGGGGTTTTCTGTGTTTTTTATTTGCTCTATCTTGGTGAATTGGGGTTTTAGTACAAATCTAGGTATGAAGGTGATTTGGTGGGGAAATGTTACTTTGCCAAGCATAAGCTGGTTTGGGAAGTTCTGGATGGTGGTCTTAAGAACAAGATTGAAATCCAGTGGTCTGATATTGTGGCCATCAAGGGCTATTTCCCCGACGATGATGAACTTGAGACCTTGCACGTTGTGGTATTCTTTTGCTGCCTTGTCTCAATTGAATTGGATATATGATTGTTTCCTGTTGGCAAGTGATGATGAAATTGAACATCCAGGGTTGGTTGGTTTTGTTTGTTGCAGCTAGCTAGGCCGCCCCTGTTCTTCAGGGAGACGAATCCTCAACCTAGGAAGCACACTCTGTGGCAAGCCTCAACTGATTTCACTGGTGGACAAGCCAGCATGCACAAGTAAGCTGTCTCGCCTCAAATTGTATGCATTGCTTGTTAACGTGAGGCAGCTTGTCTTCTTTTTCCCCGGATGTGAATGAAATTTAACAGTCTTCTTGTACGGAAAAGACGTGTCTTGATTTGTGAAGTAGGTCTTGAGTAGTGTGGATGGATACTCTTCTGGAATATATGCAGAGCTTAAGTAATGAATTATGGGAACCGACTGTCCTTTCCTTTTTGTGGCAGGCAACATTATCTGGAATGCCAGCAGGGATTCCTGCGGAAGCACTTTGAGAAACTCGTACAGTGTGATCCTCGCCTTAGCATTCTTAGCCAAAGGCCAGAGATTCCGTCGACTTCTTCTCCATATTTCGACCATAGAGTTTCAGCATTTGGGGACTTGAATGAACCATGTGAAGAAGCTCTGGATATGAAGAAGTCGGAGGAAGGAACCTCACCATCCGGAGTTCTGCCAACGACTTCCAACACTAGTACTGACTGCCAACTTTTCATCGGTAGGCCCGGTGAAAGCACTTCTCAGAAGGCTCCTTTGACCAACCCTCGTGGACTTATTCCACAGTCCATGTCAATCGATGACCTCGTTAACTACATTGGACACTGTACTTCAGAACTCAAAACTGGAGAAATCCCTGTCTCGCTTGGGCAGCTCAAGAACAGCAACATTCTGGAGGAGATCACACAGCACTTGCTCAGCGATTCTCAGTTTACCTCCTCGGATGAGGAGTCTCACCTCATGTCAAGAGTCAACTCTTTCTGCTGCCTGCTGCAGAAAGATCCGGTCTCAGCACACAACTTTCTGTCAAAGAACCAGAGTGATGCTTCTGAGGTGGACAATTGCCGAAGGACAATAGCTGGAAGTAAAGAAGCAGCAATTCCCGTGGCAACTGAAGGGGAGAACAAAAGTGGCCTTCGGTACAAGACTGCTGGTCCTACAACCATGCCAAGAAACAACTCAATTGGGGAGCTTCTTCTCAACCTTCCAAGGATTGCCTCTCTGCCAAGATTCTTGCCCAACATGTAGAGAAAACATTCCAAGGTTTATCGTGGAGGGTTCTGATATTTGCAACCGTGAAGGATCTTTGAATACTGTGTTCAGTGATTGGTGGTGGTCATGTTTGTACATTCATATGTAGTGCTAAGGAGTTGAAACTGGTTTTCACCTGTAAAGTTATTAGGTCACTGTGTAGTTTTTTGTCCACGTTTGTAGCGAGAAAGTTGCATATTTGTACGGCTGTGCTTGTCTTGGATAAACTGAAACAATAGGTAACTTGAAAGATATCTGTAATCCGAACGTTAGAAGCAACATATGAACTATCTTTGGGCAATATCCCATTTGGTCAAAACTTTGGTCACATTTTACAGTTGAGGACTCCTTCAAATTCAAGGGGAGAACAGATGCAAACAAAGCGTAAAGCAAGGAATAAACAAACCATATATGAGTTCCTTTTTTCTCAAGAACACCAAACAACAGAACTTTAGAAACTAACCAGATGACTCCTAAACCAGAAATGTTGACTGATTACTAAAGCTCAACGACTTTTTTCTGTGAGATCACTTTCCTTCAAGCATATTCTGAGAAGGTTAACTTATCAATATACAAAATGAGTGGCAACTATCTGTAATCTGCACCAACAGCTTCAATGACAGACTTGAAACCATCTCGTTCCAAGCATCCCGCTAGTTCAGCCTGTCAACGCAAATCAATATTACCCGGTTCATGGTAGTATTTACCTTAATCTTGCAACTTCACAGCTGTGTTCTCTAGTCGAGATTAATGGAATGAAAAATGGTGCTGGAACTGCAACAGAGCAGATCAGAAGAAGGTACCTTTATTTGAGGAATTAATGCAGGACCTCCATAAGCGAATGCAGTATACAGTTGGACAAGAGTTGCTCCTGCTCGTATTTTCTTGTATGCATCCTCACCACTGATTCAATGGTAAGATGGTAACAAGTTCAGGAATAGAGGATACAGAAGTCATTTCATAAAGGAAAAACTACTGAGAAGGGAAAATGAAGATGGGATTGTCACCTGCTAATACCTCCACAACCTATTAGAGGAATTTTTCCCTGGCAATGATAAAAATGACAGCATTAACACACTATTCGTAAGAGGGCATATTATATGCCTAAATTCCAAAACGAGAACTGTTTAGGCCAAAAGAAGCTCAACTTGCTCATTGTATAGTTAACAATTCCATCCACCTAATAGACTTTTTTTCTAAACCAAAAATTGGGAGTTCCTTATCTATTTCACCGCAATCAGCAGCTATATTACTATTACTGCTTGATGTCAAGCAGCTATGTTCTTATTATTTTTTTACGGCAGGTTTATCATATGCAAAGTGAAGGAAGTGTTCCCTCTCGAAAAATAAAGTAAATGAGGTGAAATTCTAAAGCTTTTAGTACGTGAACCACCATACCCTTGTCAACATATACATCTCCTTCAAGATACTGGTAGAGAGATCGAAAAGAGGCTTCCCACTTAGACCACCAGTTTCTTCGGCCAAAGGGTCGCTCCTCACAGCATCAGGCCTTTGTATTGTTGTATTTGAGATGATCTGGCCAAAGGTGCAATGAAAGGGTAAGTGATAAAAAACAGAAACAAAAATTTTGCAGAACAATATAGTCATTCGTGTACATAGTTGCCCAAAAAGGAAGTACTCGAGCACCAATGACTGAATAGTTTATGATTATGAAGGTCACTAACACCATATCACAAATTCAACCAAATAATATTGAGCTGTAAATTCTGGCTATGGAAGTGCATCCTATAGCAGATACTATGCAGAGAAACCAGAATATTCTGCCTTACTGATTTATGGTATATCTTCCCTGACATGCATATATAAATTCATAGTCTTTCACAGTGTTTGAATTGCAGACCATCACGTGACAAGGAAGTAACTGGACTTTGCAATAGTACAAAGCTGTTAACCAGTGAGAAATTGTGATTATGAACAACAGTAAATTCATTAGGACCAAGTTAACAACCAAACCATGTACTGCCAGATCTAAGTATTTATATTAAACACCAACAACTTTAACTATCGATATCTTTTAGGTTAAAAGCAAAGGCATTGAAAATGGCACGATACAGGTAGAAATATCCACATTTAAAAATATTTATGCGTTGCATCATGCAGGCATCACTGTCAGTTCTAATATTCGAAACCAATGTATAGTGAAATCATGGTATTACACAAGCTTTGTAATGAACACCAGAGCAACACTGTGTTTTAAGGAAAACCATTTCGAAACACCAGAACATGCATGGTTATAGCTGAACACTAGAAGAAGCAAAAGTTGTGGAAGTTGAAGGTTATACCAATCCATCTAGGCGGAGAGCAACAGCAACCTGCACGCAAGCACAGAAAAAAAATCTGTATCAACTATCCGGGGTAAGGGGTTAAATGAATAATAAAACAGACACTTTATGTACCGCTGCAATGTCTTCCAGGTCTTCTTTAGACAAGTCTGGTGCAATTTTAACAAGCAAAGGTGGTGGACCCTCTTCACCCCATTGCATTTCATCACGAGCAGCTTGAATCTGGGATGAAGGAAGGGGAGAGACAAGTGAGTGACTAATACCAAGACTGCTGATCGGGCTGATTTGAGACGAGAAAACGTTTTTGTAAGTAAAATCCAAATCGTTAGTGCTTTACACCTTTTTAACAAGATCCTTCAACTGTTTTCTACCCTGAAGCGTACGCAGTCCAGGAGTGTTTGGTGAAGAAACATTTATAACCTACAAGTGACAAAACACAAAAGCATATAATAAAACTAAATATACTTATTTGGGCATCAGATCCAAACCCCATAGTCTAAGCATTGAACATTGGAGCAAAAAGTAATGTTCTTAGCATAAAAAGAAGAAAGAGATATAAAACATGAACTAAGGACCTCAACAAAATTACGATTTTGGAAGCAAATATCAGGCTAGCTGGGAAATTTGGTGGCAAGCAATAATAATCTCTGTAAATTGTAAATGGATAGGCATGCATGCATGCTTGTTCAGACAATGAATTTGAAACATGAAACTACGAGGATTCTGTAAAATAGGACTAATGCAATAGCAAAAAAGAAGAAGTAGCTTTATTGGGAAGTCTACCAAGTAGTCCGCATATTGTGATAATGTATGCACGCCCTGTACATAATCGGAAGCAGCATCTTCACTTTCTTTGTTCTTTCCAAGGTTAACCCCGAGAATTCCAGGGCCAGCTTTGCCTCCCTGTTTGACATCATCATTAGTAGGAGGTGCAGTGCTTGAAGTTTCAGCCAACTTCCTCTTCCCATGTTGAGCACCCAACCTCTTGGCAACAGCTACAATGCCTTCACTATTAAACCCACAACGGTTGATGATTGCACTGACCCCAAAAACAGGAAACTATGCCATTCAGTTCCAAGTTCGAGACTTTTTTTGCGGATACTAGCATGAAAAAGAAAAAAGAGTCACATTCTTACCCTTCTTGACGCAGCCTAAAGATACGAGGCTTGGGGTGGCCTTCTTGAGGTACAGGAGTTACAGAGCCAACCTCGATGAAGCCAAAGCCCAAAGCAAGCAAGCCTTCAACAGCCTCTGCATTTTTATCAAATCCAGCAGCTAGACCTACTGGGTTCGAAAACTTCCTTCCCCAAACTTCCAGTTCCAAAACTGGCGCATCATGCCTCTTCTCCCTTGGAACCCACCCTCGGGCTGCAGCAGTGACTGCTAGTCTATGAGCAGCCTCGGGATCAAGAAGAGCGAAGAACGGATTTACAAGCTTCGTGGCATCAAACATCCAACCACTGCAAATTGGTAGATGTAGTTTATAAGCAAAGACCAATGCTTTTTTGCCAAAATAAGGAACACAGAGAGAATGTTTTGAAGCAGTTCACAATTAAGTACCAGAATGTTGCTTCATCCACTGTACTCACATAAGCTCCACCTGCTATAACCAACCCTAGAGTAGCTCCTGTCAGTAACCTTCCCTGCAGAAGCAGAGTAATATCAAAAGTCGCTACATTAGCACAAACTCAGAATACCAAAGTCGTTTGCTTGGGGCTGAAAACGTGAAGCAAAAGAGAGAGCACCTTTTTGGGCAAGTGAGGAATTTTCGAAGCTTTTCCGGTGGCAGAAGATGAACAGAACCGTCTGGCGAGTGCTCCCCCAAGTCCCATTCCCCGATTCGCAGCTGCATGTTGAGTAAAAGCGGCCGTTCTCTGTACAAAGCCTCCGAGTAACCTCTTCAGAGGCATTGCCGCCATGGATGAACTATAATAATGCAGGAACCCTAATGAAATTGTCCAAACAGAGAACCGGAAGGAAATCGAGGAGATACTATCGAGAATCCCGAGAGTTGAAACGCCGACCACCACGATGCCTAGCCAATTATAAACACCAGCGACGGCGGCGAGACACAAATCTTATTATTACCGCAGCGACGGTAAGATGAAAGAAGAAAAGCTAGAGAAGCTAGAAGTGCTCGACAATCGAGTTACAAGCTAAACCCTGTCAATGGAAGAGGTGAAGTTGTTGCGGCTTCGAGGCTCGAGCGTGAAAAGAACGAAACAGCTAAATTCTGGACCAGATTCCTACCTGAGGTTTTTATCTTTACTCTTACGAGGACTCCCGATGTCCTCGTTCTCCCATAAACCCTGTTTGTGTTTTGAAGATTAACGTGAAATTTTACCCAAAACTAAGGGCGATTACCCACAATTCGACCTAAACTTTCATTTTGCGACAAACCAAATCACTCGTTTCTTTGCGACAAATACCTAACAAAAAGTTTACCCAAATGAGGAAAGTTGAATTAAAAACACTGGCTACAAATGAATTGAGTTGAGTTTGATCTAATCTGGTTCATCTTGTTAATAAATGAATCGAGCTCGACTCGTTTATCACAATTTTGGCTCGTGTTTGACTCGAGTTTAGTTCATTAATAAGCTCGAGAGTTTTCATCGAGACAGTTGGCGAGCTCAACTTGATCTCAGGTATCATATTATTCAGGTCATAAAATTCAACTGTTCTCATCATATTATTGAATAATAATTAGTATCTGAACAATCTATGATATCATGTTATTTAACTGTTTATATTATCTCTTTTAAATTGTAAATGACACATTTGTTCAAGTACTCAAAGTTTTAAACTATTGTGATGTCACGAGTCATCTCGGCCTTACTCGTTGCTCACTCTCTCAGGCCGGCTCATGTTATTTTGTGGCCCATTTATTCTTCGTGTTCCCTACGTGACTTGTAGAAGGGAATTAGGTTAGCTTTGCTTGCATTTGTATTTAAGCCGAGTTTATGGTTGACGGTTGTAGCTTCTATAACTCAGAACCACTCAATCAATAAGACATCTCTAAGAGCTTCAGCTCTCTGTGTACTAGTCTCGTTCACATCGAACGGAGAAACCATGTAAATCTTGCGTCGTGTTCTCTTTTCTCGTTATCGTTTTCTACATGGTATCAGAGCTGTGATTGATCCCACAGCTATTTCCGCAATCATGAGTGATAAAGAAGAAGGAGTCATAAACAGCTCAAGCAAGTTGGGTGTTAGCGACAAAGGGAGCAGCTCTAGTCCGGTGGTTCTGTCGCCATTCGTGATTCATCGATCGGACAACCCTAGTCATCTGTTCGTGGGAGATTTGCTCACCGAATCTAATTATCGTGAGTGGCTTGGTGACATAAGTGATTCTCTTATAGCAAAGAACAAACTCGGTTTTGTTGATGGAAACATATCGCCACCAACGAATGGGGGCGAAGATTACGCCATGACTAAGGACGTGCGCAGCAACGTGAGGTTTGCCAAGACGACACGCAATATATGGCTGGATATTCAGTTTCTATTCGGACATGGAAGCGCGTCCAGGATGTATGAATTAAAATGCACCATCAACCTTCTTCAGCAGGAGAAGACGTATATGGCCTCGTTTTACACCAAACTTAGAGGTCATTGGGACGAGATGACCTCCCTCGCACCTTCGCTTGAGTTTACCTGCAGGCTGCAGCGGCTGTACCTGCGATGTGAAGCAGCGTCAGCGCGGAGCTAAGGAAGGAGAAAGGTTGTTCAATTTTTTGATGGATTTAGACGACGTGTTCAGCACAGTCAAAACTCAGTTCATGTCCGTGAAACCTATGTCCAGCCTAGCAGAGGCATATCATCTTGTTACTAATGACGAACATCAACGTCATATCTCCAACAACAGGCGCCTTCGTGTAGACGCGGGTGTTTTCCAAGCCCAAGAGGAGCGCAAGGTTGAACGACCGGCGCAACAGGACGAACGAGATGCAGAAGGCAGACCATATTGCACCTACTGCCAACGCTTAGGTCATTTTCGTGACACTTGCTACAAGCTAAATGGTTACCCGCCGCGTAATTCAATGACGAGTGAGCAGCAGAAGCTGAGACCTGATCGCGACAGGCGTCCACCACCTCAAGCTGCGGCAGTTGACACCGATTCCAGCCCGATCCTTGGGTTGACAGCAACCCAATTCCATCAGCCGAAGCAGCTTCTCATCCTTGATCACAGATAGGACAAGTCGAACACCTCCTACCCAATCTCGAACATGGCAGGTACGCCATCAAAAAAACTTCCTTGGTTATAGATTCTGGATGCAATTAACATATAGTAAATGATAAATCTTTGTTGGAAAATGAGTTGGAGTCTACTCCAGCTTTACAGGTTCGTATTCCTAATGGGCCAGGAGTTCATGTTCACTGCATTGTCTGTTTGGTTATCAAATAACTTATTACTTCGAAGAGTCTTATATGTTCCGGATTTCCAATGGAATCTTCTCTCGGTCAGTCGTCTCACAACTAACCTTCGTGTGGCTTTAATCTTCATGAGTGACTTTTGTGTTGTTTAGAACTTACCATCCAAGAGGCCGATTGAGATGGGTAAGTACATGGATGGACTCTATTATCTGAAGCTATTTGACGAGGAGCAGGTTGTGGCGCATTCAGTTCGCAAGGCATCAGATAATTCAGTCCTTTGGCACTCTGACACGCCTCTACCGTCACACTAGAAAGTGGACAAGTGTAACCACCTACTAATGCGTAATATAGCGGGTTTAGTTCTAAATGTCAACCCGGGTCCTAGGTGTGATGACTACTCCGTGAAAATCTTATTATTTAGCGGTTCAAATGTAGTGAAGGTCTAACTAAACTAGCAAGCAAGAGTAGTGAAAGTTGCGTTCAAAGTTGAGAGAGGTCACCCAGATATGGTTCCCCCTAGACTGCAGTTAAGCCAGATTGTAATTCGCCAAGTTCAAGTTCAATGATAGTTACACTGCAGGAGGTTCTTAGACAGTCTGCAGTCTCGACTAAAGGTCTCCAGACCCTCTCAATCTGAGTCTCCAGCGGGCGACTAACCTCCACCGGAGTAAACAGATTGAGGCCCTAACAAACCAAACCTCATCTACCGGAGTAAATCCGGTACAGAATAGTGAATTGACTCCTCGACTAAAGTCGTCAATTCACTACCTTCAATCAAGGGTGCTCTATCAACCTAGGCAGATATTCTCTTTCTAAGTCAAAGCAGAAATAACAAGAATTTTATCAGGATTCATGCAATTAAGGAAATCAAACCTCAATTGAATATAATCAATATTAATGAATTCGTACTTGGGTTCATACAATCAGACCTAACATACAAATCTAGGGTTCTTCATACCCAGGTGAGTGAGAGAGTTTACTCCATACAGAGAGAAGGGAAATCTAGCTCAGATGCACAAAACATGTTGTGAAGGATGAGATTCTGCTTCTTGCAATCAATCGGCCCTTCTCCAAGCTTAATCCGAGCTCCAATGGTGATGAAGATCGATCTACGGCGCTTGGAGATTATGATCGTCACTCTCTCTCTAGGTATCTGCTTTTTTCTCTAAAAACTCGGAACCCTTGTAAAATTGGCTTTCTTTCCCTCAAAAGGGACCATATCCCCTGTCATAATACCCGGCCAGGTATTTTGAAACGCTGCGCATCGGAAAGGACTTAATACCTGATCAATGTTCAAGAAGACGCTAGGCGCTATCTAGGCGAGGAGGTACCGCCCAACGTCCAGGCCGATTAGTTGTTGCCTAGGCGAGATTAAACGTTGAAATTTTTTTATAGATAAGCCATATTCCACAAAAACCCAATTCCCCATATCATTATTCATCCATTCATATGCACATACAACCCTTTTCCACAATCCCAAACATCCTAAGTCGCCAACCATGAAGAGGGATCTCACTGCTGGTCGATGAGGGGGAGCGGGTGGTCGAATGGAAATAGAAAATAGAGTAGGATTTGAGATTTTCACAAAAAGGCTATACTTTTCCCCTTTATTAGTTGTTTTGGGCGTCGTCCACCATAGTGAAAACGCGCCTCGGAGTGCCTAGGTGCTTAGATCAATCGCCCAGGGCTAGACGGGGTGATTTCCTTCTACTTAGCTATTAATCGCGCCTAGGCGAGAGATTAATCGTGTCTTCTTGAACATTGTACCCGATCGAGGTCCAGAATACCCGATCGGTTATTTTGGCTCCACGGTCAGGACCCCTTCTGGGATTCTGGCGTCCAAAACGTCTTTACCCGGTCGGATATTTCAAGGGCCGACCGGGTATTTTTTTTCTCCATCGTCCTTCACTCAAACTTCCTATCTTTTGGCCCGAAATTCGTTTCCTCGCCTCCACGTCAATGCCAAGTCCTGAAATATGACATAAACGCACAACCTAGCGTGAAATCGACTTAAAACACGAGAATCACTCTCAAACGGCTCAAGAATGGTGGTATAAACATGTGTAATTAATGGTCTTTCACACTCGCATCTGGGGGATTCATCCTCAGCTAAATTATCTATTTTGCAGCAGTTTATTTCTAGTTCTCTTGTCAAAACCGAGGAACCATGTCGTTCATGTATTCGGGGAAAACAAGCTAGAGATCTTTTTCAGTTGAGTTCTATTTCCACCCAAACTTGTTTTGAGCTCATACATTTGGATATTTGGGGTGGATACCAGGTTCCTTCTTTTATAGGAGTTTCTATTTTCTGACGATTGTTAATGATTATAGTCGAGCATTCTGGGTTTATTTATTGAAATTCAAACCTGAGGTTGCCCGTTACATTCTTCATTTTTGTCATATGGTGAAGAATCAATTTGGTAAACAGGTTTGTCGTATTCAAGCAGATAATTGCCCAGAGTTTGCCACTTCTGCATTACAGGATTTTTATAGTGAGGCTGGTATTATCTTGCAAATCTCATGCATAGATACCCCCGCAGCATAATGGAGTGGTGGAAAGCAAGCATCGACATCTCCTTGAGACAGCAAAAGCCTTGCAATTTCATGCCAATCTACCAGTTGAATTCTGGGGTGTGTGTGTCATGACAACAACATACCTCCTCAATCGCATGCTACTCGTTGCCATCAAAAATATATCCCCATTTCAGGTGATATTTGGCAAGGACCCTTCTTATCAGCATCTTCGCAGTCTTGGATGTCTCGTGTATGCTCGCGATAATCATCGTGGGCTCGACAAGTTTGGTGATCGCGGTCGAGTCGGGATTTTTGTTGGGTATCTGAGTGCTTAACGGGGATATCGCATCTACGAATTAGAGTTCAGGACAATATACATGTCTCATGACGTCAAGTTCGTAGAGCATTGTTACACTTATTATCATTCGGCTGACCCTTCTCCCTCTATTGGCCAACTTTTGGCTCCATCTACCTCATCTCTTTCCTATTGGGCAGGTGGCTATTGACGTGGACAGTGATAGATATGACTATTCTCTTATTGATTCTCATGTACTTCGCACTCTTAGCCTTCACCATCCAAGGACAATGGCCCTGATGATCACCCTTCCTCGCTTGTCACGACAACTCTTAACCCAGCTTCCTCGCCTCCAACTGATTTTGGCTAGAGTTCTTTGCCTGTCACTGAGACAGAGCCATCATCGCCCTCCATTTCCGAGGCCTCTTTTCTTCATCTCGTCCCTCCAGCGCCACATCGTAGCGATCGGCAGCTTCAACCTTCCACTCGTTTGGCTAACTACGACGTGGAACTTCCTGGTTTCGCTCACACAGCCGTCGTTGATCACCCAATTGAGGACTATCTAACTAATCGGCGATTATCTCAGGCGCATCATGCATTTGTATCGACTGTTTCTCTTGCCTATGAGCCAAAGTATTTTCATCAGGCTGTTCGTTATGAGCATTGGCGAAAGGCCATGCAAGCTGAATATCTAGCTCTCGAATTCAATGGCACCTGGACCTTGTGTGTCCTCCCTCTGAGTGCCATTGACTGCAAATGGGTCTATAACATCAAGTTCTTGTCTGATGGTTCTATGGAGCACTACAAAGTGCATCTCGTTGCAAAAGGCTTTACACATATCAAAGGCATCGATTTTCATGACACCTTTGCTCCGGTCGCTAAGTTGGTCACTGTCTGGTGTCTTCTCGCAGTTGATGTTAAACGTGGCTGGTTTATCCATCAACTCGATGTTAACAATGCTTCTTGCACGACGAGTTGACAGACGAGGTATACATGCACATTCCTCAAGGCTTCTCTCATCCCCTGGGGAAACACTGGTTTGTCAACTCCATAAATCCATTTATGATCTTCATCAAGTCTCGCATAATTGGTACCAGAAGTTCACCCTTGCCTTGTTAGAGATGAAATTCGTCCAAAGTCGTGTTGATCAATCTCTTTTCACTTATCGACGTGGGTTTACGTTCATTGCAGCCTTGATCTACATTGATGATGTTATCTTGACAAGAAATGATATGGTTTTTATTCAGCGGGTTAAGGACTTCCTCCGCAATCGCTTCACCATTAAGGATCTTGGTACTCTCAAGTATTTTCTTGGCATCGAAGTTGCTCGATCTCCGCGTGGCTTGGTCCTAAATTAGTGAAAGTATGTTCTTGATATCCTTGAGGAGGCTGGTCTCACTGCTTCTGGTCCCATTCCTACCCCTATTGAGCAGAGTCATCACCTTGGTTGTGACCCTTCTGCTCTTGCTCAGGATCCCTCTGCTTATCGTTGTCTGGTTGGTCGGCTGCTTTATCTCACTGTTACACGACTTGACACTATCTATGATGTCAATATTCTGAGTAAGTTGGTTCACTCTCCCACACGAGCCCATGAGGATGCTACCGTCGTGTTCTTCGCTACCTCAAGACATCTCCTGATTGTGGTCTTTTTATTCCACTTGAAGGTGATCTTTCTTTTGTTGCTCACTGTAGTGCTGATTGGGGTGGTTTCCCTACTACACAACGTCCACTACTGGTTACTTCATCACTTTGGGTTCTTCTCCGGTGTCTTGGCGCACGAAGAAGCTGATAGTGGTTGCCCGATCTTCTGTAGAGGCTGGATATTGGGCTATGGCTAGCACTGTTAGTGAGATTCTCTGTCTATGCTGGTTACTCTACGATTTGGGTGTTGTCCTCCATGCTCCTACTCCGCTCTACTACTAGAATCAGGCAGCCCTGCACATTGCTGCTAATCCTGTTTTTCATGAGCGCACCAAACACGTTGAGATGGACTGTTACTTTGTTTGTGAACGTGTCCAATCCCATGATGTAGCTCCTCTCAAGATTGCATCCTCGGATCAACCAACTGACATCTTCCCCAAGGGTTTGAGCATTGATCAATTCCATTATCTCCAGGTCAATCTCGGACTCCTTGACATCCATTCCTTCGCTTGAGGGGGCGTGTTGTGATGTCACGAGTCATCTCGGCCTTACTCGTGACTCACTCTCTCGGGTCGGCTCATGTTATTTTGTGGTCCATTTATTCTTCTTGTTCCCTAAATGGTAGACTTGCTGCCAAAAAGATAGCAGTGGGTATTCAAAGTTCAATCCCTAAATCGGACAATACACAATGCATTGACAAAAGTTTACAAGTAAACATATCCATGACTCGATATTCTGCTTCAACTGGCAACTGAGACATAGTCTATTGCCTTTTGAATATCCATCTAATGCGAGAATTACATAATAACACAAATAAATATAGTCGTTGAACGAAGAGTGACAGAGAAACTAGTCTAGTCAATATCATAGAAAACATGCAATTAAATAGTTACCGATACTGCCTTTAATGTATCCAAGGGCATGTTCAACAGTTTGTAAATGAACATCAATATCGACATGATTAAATTTTCTAAGTTGATGTACAACATAATAGAAATCTGACCTAGTTTTGCATAAGTAAAGTATTCTAATAATCAATCTCTTAAAAACATAAGGGTTTGAAAGTGGTTTACCAGACAATGCATAGAATTTAAGGTCTGGAATAGAAGGTAAATCATCTAGTTCAGCACTAAATCTAAAGCATAATTGTGTTGGCATAAAGAAACGCCATTTGCAGTCCTAGTTATCTCGTACCAAGAAAGTATTTCAGTTCTCCTAAGTTTTTAATCGGGAAAACATCGATTGGTTATTTTTTAAGTGAGGAAATAGCTGAAAGATTATTACCATAAATAATGATATTGTCAACATGCACAAGTTTTATCATTACTAATGCAAGTAACAAAATTATAAAAGTATGTTTTATCACAAAAGCAAAAGTTTCTAAATTACCAATGCTAGAGGTTAGAGTATACCCTTTGGCTATGGGTCTAGCTTTATACTTATATATAGACCCATAAGCCTATTATCTTTGAATACCCACATCTTGCCAAATATGGTCTTTTCGAGAGGCAACTCGGCGATGGACAGTTTTGGTTTTGTCCAATGCTTGGAACTCACCATTTATGGTTTGTCTCCATCTATGTTCTTGCACTGCATATGACGTGATCTTTACTCCACATTGTTAGTGGGTAAATGTCATAATTGGTCACTGAAATTACTAAAAAATATCAAGTATGGTCACTAAAAATATTTTATTTCATTCGTGATCACTGAAATTACTAAAAAATGTCAAGTTTTGTCACTCTTCGTCCAACTCCGTTAACTTTTGCTTATGTGGCAGTCAACTCTTTAAATTGATCGTTAAATATATGATGTGGCAGTTAAAAATTTAAAAAATAATAAAATTAAGGACTTTTCTACGGTTACTTGCACAAGTAGGTTGACCGCAAAGTAATAAAGGTCAACCAAATCTACTATTTCCGCTTTGTTACGTTCAACAAAGCGGTCAACCTTGTACATGAAATGGTCGACCTCTTTGGCAAGCAAACAATAACAAAGGTCGACCTCAATTTTAAAGCGGTCGACCTTGTACATTAAATGGTCTGCCTCATTCTTGAAAGGGTCGACCTCTATTGCATTACTTTATCAACATCAAACTTGGAATTATTTAGGGGTCGACAATGGGAAACGGGTATTTGATTATATTCATACCCGTCCTATATTTATTACGGGATGTGACTTGGGATTAAAAAATTTGATATTGGGTGTTCACGGGTCACCCGCTAATACCCGTTTGGATAGTATTGTACCCATAATTCCCATTATATTAATTTCGTATACAATATCATAGCTCAAAGCCCAGCCACGTGAGCACACTGCAGTTGAGTGTAACATAGATGTGAGATGAATTCCGATCTTTCAGTGGAAGATACATGCATCCCACCATATTCGACTACCATATTGCTAGCAACACCAATGAGTAAAATGCAGATGAGTGAGAGGAGAGAGGCTTAGGAACTCCATAATTTAGATTGCGTTTTTTCGTTGTGAAATTTGTTAAGTCTTAAAGACGATTTGATTTAAAGTAACTATGATCGTAGATTGATATTAAGTTGTTGTGGTTTTTTATTTTAGGTATGTGTGAACTATTATGAGGTGTGTTTTATTGTATTTGGTGTTAGTGATTAAGCTGTTAAAAAGTTAGGCTTTCTTGCTATTATGATTGTGGATTGAATTTGTTGGTTTCTATCATAATTTTTTAGACAAAACAAAGTCCACACGTCGACAGGCATAAGCACAAAAATCAAAGGTCGCATGCTTATTTTACTATAAGCAGCCGACCGTAAAATCAACATTTTCCTCTACGTTTCACTTCAAGAGGAATGAATTGATGTGTTGTCGACTCTTTTTCTATCTAGTCAACCTCTTGCTGGAAATGGTCGGCCTCATTCCATATATGGTAATGATCATTTTGGTAATGACTGTCCTAAAGTGGTCGATCTCTTTGTTTTTTACAGTCCACCATTTTGTATATGACTAAATTGAAAGGTCGACCTATTTCCTATTCTGGTCGACCATTTATTGTATGACTGCCTCAAATCGGTCGACCAATTTTTTGTTATTGTCGACCATTTTGGTATTGACTACCTTAAAATGGTCGTCCATTATATGTTAATGGTCGACCGTAGTTTCTATAAGAATGACCACGATGGTGTAATTGGTCGAAAGGATGAACACATAGGTCGACCGAATTGTGCAAGTTACGGTGCCTTGCATGTCACCATAGGTGTACCCCTAAAATTAAATATTTCAAAATTTCCACCTCATTGTTTCATTATTACAAAATAACAATAAAAAATTCTGTTATTGCTCAATCTCTTATTCTTCGTCTTGTATATAGGGATGGCAATGGGGCGGGTTTGCTAAAACCATCCCCATACCATCTTCAAATACCCAAACCCATACCCGCCCCATACCCATGCGGGGAATGTTTTGCAAACCCATCCCCATACCCGTGGGTTTCGGGTACCCATGGGCAATACCCATACCCGTACATCCAACATTATTATATCTAAAACTTACAAGAAAAGTTCTAATTATAACTCTAAACGAACATATTATATCATGAAGTCGACAAAACACGGTCATTTTTTTAATATGGTTCAAAGATTATGATCCTAAAATGTCCATTAATACATAATATAGAGTATAATATTTTTCAAATTATTATGTTCTAACTCTGATACATCTACTAAATAATAATTAACTAACATAATCTTGTTGACAAGGGGGAAAGTGAAAGAGTGAAATGAGAATTGAGAGAAATGATTAGATTTTGATTAAGATGGTCACTCAATTGCATTTGTACTATTTATTTTCTCAAGTTATCATCATCGTCATTGATAGATTATAATTTGATGCACATATTTTTTTATATATGAAGAAATTATCTTGGTGGGGCGGGTATGGGGATGGGTATGGGGCGGGGGAGGCTAAAACCATACCCGCCCCATACCCATCAAACTTTTTGCGGGTTTTACCCATACCCGCCCCATACCCGGTCAAAGCGGGGATTCCCCGCGTTGACTGGGTCGGGGGCGGTCGGATACCCGCGGCCATGGGTTTGATTGCCATCCCTACTTGTATACCGATGGCTTTTTCATGTTCCTCTCCCGTCCTTGGTGTCCAAAATCATTACCAAATCCAACCCCCTCGTCGCCGCTGTCCGCTCAACCGCTCAACAGCTAACCCACCCACACCAGCTTCCCCCACCTGCAATCAACGTCGTACAACCCCAGCCTGCTCCAGCTCGTGAAACTTATCTGCCGCCGCCTCCGCCAACAGAGTCGCCCCTCCCCTCCCCTGAATCTTGCTCACGAACTCGCCGCCGGCCCTCTCCACTACGGAATCCATCAACAGCTTCTCTAAGCAACAGCTCGGGTCTTCAATCTCACGGGTCGATTGTAGCAATGGCGTGGATTACGTAGTTCCCGAATGAATTTGACGGGAACGGCGGGTTCCCCTTCCGCCGCAGGTTAACAGCTTGGGTCACGATTTTGCTGGCGGTAATTGCGTCGAGAATGGACTCGCGAAGAATTACAGTTACTGCTTTTAGTCTACTGATCATTGGCTCCATCAATTTCTCTTTCAGACTGGCCAATCCGGCATCATTGAAGACGAACCTTCTGGTAATAGCCGGTGACTTCCTCTGCTCCACCGTCGGAGATGGCGATCGCTCAAGGAGCATCTCATTCTGCGAGAATATCGACTCCCCGTCGAATTTCGAATCCCAAATCCCAGAACCATCATCACCACCAACGGCCACCAATGGCTGATTCCGGATCAGGGCAGCGGCGGCCCCGCCCCAGGCGTGGGGGAAGCACCCGATCTTTTTTATTTTTTATGAGTGGAAATTTTGAAATATTTGATTTTATTATTGTCACGTCATATATTTAAAAGTTAACTGCCACATAAGCAAAAGTTAACAGAGTGGACGGAGAGTAACCAAACTTGACATTTTTTTCGTAATTTTAGTGACCACGAATGGAATAAAAGGTTTTTAGTGATCATACTTGACACTTTTTAGTAATCTTAGTGACCAATCATGGCATTTACCCCATTGTTAGTAATAGAGATGATTGTAATGTCAAGATTAAGTCGTTTGGAGGTTGGGATTTCAAGCGATGTATTTAGTCAATGCATGTAATGTCAAGATTAAGTCATTTTTTTTTGTTAAATTTATGACAGAATACGTGTATTACCTTTTCCCAGCCTCATCTACAATCACTCAAAATGCGTGATTATCAATCTCTACCAAAAGGTGAGATTGTGACAGAAATTGTCTACCCTTTATTTTCTAATCTATAATATAGTTGAATGTAAACCTCCAAACAAAATATTTTTCAAATTCATACATTTCATTGATATAACAAATTGCAATAGACAAATTAATTAAATATTTTAATTTGGAGAAACCCATCCTCCAAACAACCCCTAAAATGTTTAAGCACCTTACTATCACTAAGGTTATCAAAGGATATGACTTGAGACAGAGGAAAACTTACAGTCAAAAACTAATTGGAAACAGAGCAAACACAAACGGAAGAAGAATTGATCACGTGCAACAAAAAATTTCCTATGATACCATGTTTTTTTTTTTTTTAAAGAACTATGATACCATGTTGCTGATTGAAATCTTGAGAGCATGTCGATAGATATTTTTTTTCTTTTAAATGAACAAAAAATCGCAATGTTCATCATGCTCATATATATTGGCCTAAATGTCCTAGAAAGCATTAACGAAAATATATATTATAAATGAATCTAAACTTTACAAAGCAAACATCTAAATCTTGAAAATGTAAATTTTGAAAAGTTTAGAATGTAATAATAAATGAGAAATTTTACAATGCTATATAGTATTGGTGCTATAGGATTTTAACTTTATGGTACAACTTAAAATTGTACATTTACGTTATGGTACAACTTTAGATTGTACCTATACTTTTTGTACAAATTCTTTTATGGTACAACTTGGACTTGTACCTTTATGTGATGGTACAACTTCAAGTTGTAAAATTGTACCATAACATAATGGTACAAATTGCTTTATGGTACAACCTAAACTTATACATTTAATGTTATGGTACAAATTTAAGTTGTACATTAAAGCACCAATACTATATAGCATAGTAGAAGTGCTCAATAATAAATATGCTTGGCACGACCAGTCAGTTTTCGTGTCGTGCCGTGCCAGCCCATTTGTTACTTTTGTTCGGCCTGACCTGGGCTGAGCACAGTTTAAATCACGCCGTGCCTATTCGTGCTTGTGCCGCACTTATAATCGTGCTTAATGAAAAAGAAGAAAATGAAAGAGACAATGAAAAAAATGAGAAAATTGGACGAAGAATGTAAGTATTAACAAAGGATATTTAAGAATGTAACAAATAAGGACAGAAAAAGAAAATTGAAAGTATAACGTGGTATGATTCGACTTTGTTTAATTCTTCGTCCGTTTTTACTAATGGTAGTAATTATGCATATAGTAATATTTGAACCTATAATTCTTTTTTATATTTATTTCTATAAAAAATATTCTTTTTCGTTTCATTTCCGTTCTTATACTCAATATAGTCTCGAAAATGTTTGGCCCGGCACGGGCCATTTATAGACCGTGCTCGTGCTCATGAAGTTTAGGCCAGACACGGCCCATGAATTATTCGTGCTCGTGCCGGGCTGACCCATATATTTCGTGCTCGTGCTCGTGTCGTGTTCTAACTGTGTCGTGCCATACTAGCCCATGGGCGGCCCGGCTCGGTTCACACGTGAAAACTAGTTTAATTGCATTTTTGTATGTGAACTCGTAGATACCCAACGGATTGGGTTTGAGTTTTCCAAACTCAAGTGGATTTTATCCCAGGTTTTTTTTTTTTTAATAAACACATGAATTTGAATTTGGCATAACCCCTCCCAACCCCATCGCCATCTCTAAGCGTGAGCAACTCATTGGAGGTCTCAATTGAGGAGTCGCATAACTATGATACATTACATGTAATGCAATACATATACAGCTAGCTGCTAATATTTTGCTGCATTATTAAAGTACACAAACATGCTTATATGTATATCCAAGAGGGTTTCTCAAGTTTCAACATATTAAAAAATTACGAGACCTCCAATGTACTTGTATGATATCCAACTTAAGTCTGTATAACTACATCCACCACCACTAACACGACTACTGACAAATATCCTTCATCTATGATACGACTTTCTCGTCCTAAACTTCCACACCAAAACCTAGAAAAGAATAAACGAACAAACCATCGAAAAACAACCTATGTCACTTCTTACTCAATGACCTTTGGGGCCTTCTCCCTCCTCCCCTGCTCCAACTTCTTCCTCGTCACCAAGTTCTCCATCCCCATCCATGGCTGCCTCATTCTCTTGCAGCATGTTCATAAGCATGTTTACCTGTTCATGTAGCATCGTGTTCTCCCTCTCCACCTGAGACCTTTTACTCTTCTCCTGGAGAAGCTGTAGCTGCAGGTGCTCGAGAACCCGCGAATCCTCTTCCAACTGCTCGTTAAGCCCATCGATCTCCCGGTCCTGCAAAATGAACGAGCCCAATTACCGATATGCCAATTTTAACCCAATCCCAGTAGTCCATACACAAATGGAATTTGTCTTTCTACGAAATCAAATTCAACTGCTTTGCTTACAAGTAGAACGGGAAAAATCCATTTCCTTTTACCTTTCTGTTCATTTCCTGTACAGCAATCCTGCGCATGCTCTCAACCACATCCACATTCACAAGCTTCCTCTTCTTGCCGATCAGCCATCCTTTCGGGTAGCTAGCAGCATCGAAATCCGGCGGTGGAAGCAGTGATTCAGCAGACATCCGCTTCCCATTGAGGTTGAAAGTGGGTTCCAAGGGTTCAAACAGAGCCCTGCGCCGCTCGGAAAGCTGCTGAGGGGTTTCGTTGGTTTCAGCTGCTTCCTGCATCTTTTCATCTTCCTCTTCTGTTTTGGAAGGAGGAGGAGTAGTGATGGTGCTGTCGTCCATTACCTTGTTGAAGCTCCTTCCACCGCCAGCTGTTTGGGAAACAAAGTTACTGTTCTCTAGTTCCATACACAACATTTTATTTTAGAGACACACGGCAGCAGCAAAGAAAATATAGAATATTTGATTCGACAAATAGTTTAAGATATGAAGACAGCGTAGTAATCTAAAGCTTGACATTTGTCCTTCTGTGTTCACGATCAAAACGAGGGAAGAGTCCACATTGAAATTCTCAGAAGAACAAGTCCTAAGAGTAATTGTTTTGTGTTGGAAGTTTCAAATAGGAAGGAAGATTAAAGTAATGAAAATGAAAGGGAAAGGGAGACTTTTAGCAGAAGGGAAAATGATAAAATAAGGAAGTAAAGGAACCAACAATTATGAGAAGGATGGATTGATCATCTTCCTCCAGCCACCAACTTAGATAGAGGAAAATTGGCGTGCCAGTCAAGTAAACAGCAACTTCTATCTGTATTTCTCTCCAACCAAACAGTCTTTACGCTTCAAAGCTGACAAAATTGGAAGCACACACCAAGCTTTTCCTTCTCCATGACGAAGAATCGAAGAAATACAGCTTAACCAAAGGAAATTGGAACAATTTGGAAGTAACCCATCAAATTTTGATTTCGAAAAGGCAATAATTCTCCATGGTAATCATTCTTTTGCTAGGAAGCAAACGGAAGAAGCGAAAACAAGGAAGAACGAAATTAAAAGGAAAGAAATAGGGAAGTACCAGATCTCTTCCTGGAATTCCAGTGGATCCTGGTGGAAATAGCAGGAGAGAAGCCATTCAAAGCAGCAGACATCCCTCCGCTTCCATCTATGACATCAACCATCTTCTTCTCCTCTTCCATAATTCACAAACAAGGAAAAACAAAAAACCCAACAAAGAAAAACAGCAGAGAAACAGAGGAAACAGAGCGAGGACAGAGCCCTTCAGAAATCGGACATCAAGGTGCAGCCTTTCTCGGCTCTCCAAGCTCTACCTGTGTGCCTGACTGAGAAAGAGAGAGAGTTTGGCGTTGTGAGGGCGGGGGTTTAGACTTGTTTGAGCCGTTTCGTCTTCCCTCTCTCTCTCTCTATCTGGCGTGGAGTTTCTGGGTGTTTCAGCAGCTGGCAGGAGAGGCGAAAATGGGGAGGGAAGGGATGGCAATTGAAGGGAGGGGTTGGGAGAATTAATTGAAGGGGAAGTGTTGGTTTGCTGGTTGTCTTGTTGCTGGGCTTTGTTGTTGTTTGTGAGCAGAGAGACGGAGGGCGGAGGCAGAGGAGGGGACGGAGAGGCAGATGGATGGATAGATAGAAAAGAAAGATGCTACTGAATTGGCGATGACGATGAGGGAGAGGGACCACCAAAAGCCCCACTATTGCCCGCTTTTCAACGGCTGTGATTTTTTCTTGTTTTGCCAGATGCTGTGATTTTAAATTCTACTTTAAACGCCTCGTTTGTTTTTTTATTTTTCCTACAAATAAATAACTTTTCTTCATAAACCAATGGGTTGGCAAAACTAATTATTTCCTGTGGCTATTCGCCCAAATTTGACTCAATCGAAACAATTTTTAGCTAGTATGGATAAATCTCGAATTCGAGTATTGCGCGAATGAATGGATAGGTTTTCTCAATATTCAATATGTATTTTATTTAGAAATTGTATTAATTATTCTCATCATATTTGATATTTTATATATATAATTAGTTGCTATCATATCATCATATTATACTAATTCTACAAATTAAAATTCAAAATTCGACATCTTAAAACTAGTTTTTAAGATGGGTGCATTGAACGCACTCATTTTTATAAGTGCACCGAAGTAGTCACCATATATATATATATATATAATATTTTTATGAAATTCTGTTCTATTCTATTAATTTTATTCATTCTAGTGATTTATTATTATACTTTCTCCTTATATAATGTGAATATATGAGTAACTGTTTACATTATATAATGTAGCAACTGTTTACATGTTTATTGAAATTATGAAGAAAAATTATCATAAATATCTGACATATATAATATTTACATAAAATTATGTTTTCCTCTACTAAATTTCTTCATTTTAGTGATTTTATACAACTTCTCGTCTTCCTGGTCTGGACCAGGATATTTTTTGTTTGCATTATTTCTAATGTTTTTTTGTGTACTCTATAACATTTCTGGTTTTCATGGGGTTTCTTGTCTTTTAAGTCTGCTTTAAGAGGGTTGTGGTAAGTTTTATGAGTTTTCTGATATACTTCATGAAATTTTGTGTTAGTTTTGTAGCATGCTTTCTACATTTTCGGGTATATTTTATGTCATTTCTGCTTTACTTTATGGGGTTTGTGGTGTGGTTTGTCGTGTTTATGGTCTGGTCTGCTTCATGATCTTGTGGTTATCTTTTTGAGTTTTCTGTAAGGATTGAAATACCGTATTGTACTGGCGGTCCGACCAGAAAATATCTTATCGTACGAGCGGTATTAAGCGGTTGAGTCACGGTTAAACCACGATTTTAGCATAAAATACCCTACCGTTGACTTTTCCGGTACAACCTCTAGTACGATATTTCAATCCTTGGTTTTCTGGTATGCTTCAGTAAACTTGTGGTCAGGTATATTAGGTTTTTTTTGTCTACCTTATGAGCTTTGATGTGATGACTTTTGTACTATTTGTGGTGCTTTCTACTACATTTTCCTCATCTACTTTATGAGGATTCTGGCATATTTTATGAGATTTAGGGTATGATTTGTGGTGTTTTATAATCTCGCCTAAGTTTTATTGTATGCTTCATAATAGTTGTGGTCAACTTTATAAGTATTCTGATATGCTTCAGAAAACTTGAAACCAATGAATCCCTCTTCGTCATGGCTGGTGCAATCTCGACTATTGTTGTCGCTCCCTTCATCATCAATCGTCACTCAGATCTCCAACACTAACTCGAATCGCCTCGACAATATCCAACACTAGAATAATCAACCACTCCTCCTCAATCACTACTTCACTAGTGTGATATTCAAAATATTGATGTATCATGTATCCCATTTAACTTCCATTTCTTTTTGTTGTTTACGGTAAATATGAGCTTAGCTGACTTTTGTATTAAGGGCACGCTAATGTTGACATATTATGAATATTATTTATTTATTTTTATAAAAAAGGATCGGTAAGTAAGATTCCAACTACCAAAGAGAATTATCCATTTATTCCATTCCTCAAAAAAGAAAACTCTAGTGGATACGAATTTGTATTGCGGATGTTACAAAACGTATTTCCGAGAAAATATTGTTGGGCCTTTTGACCCATATAAGAATCAAGCATGATTAGACCCAACCCACAGAATACGCGTCAATTACTGAGGAGTTTTTTTTAATATATTTTATCCTACAAGAAGTCGATGAGATAATTTTTTTTTTATTCTTTTAAGTGGATGAAATATGGTTTATTTAAGACTTAGATAATCAACTAGTTACAGGACTTTCAAAAAAGATAAACTAGTTACATGAATTTAGTCTTTCATTTTGGTGTTTGATTACACTTTCTTGGTTGTAAGTTTGGTACAGGTATATGGATTTACCGAATATCATATTATATTTGTTGATATTTGGTATTACTGAATACACATATTATTTGTTGGGATAGAGATTAAATTGAATTTCAAGTGTTATTTGGTATTATTAGCAATTATGGGATTGAGATCGGTATATACCGAAATATCGATTAATATCGAAATACAAGCAAGTGTACATTTTATCCCTCTCAAATAAACTCGCTACATAGCTCATTCTCTCGTTATTTGACAACCCATATCAAGTTCATTTTGTCATTTGTAGTATAATTGTGGGTTTCTTAGGCGTTCCAAGTTACCGTTTGTTTGTTACCTTAGTTTGTTGATGTGCAGTGCTTGCTAGACACTGTATTTTTCTAGTGTAATAACCTGAGATTTTTATCGTTTGTTTCGTACGAGTGTTGGCACCACACCATTGTTAATTTTTATATATTTTGAGATGATTTGTAGAACTAGTATATGCGTTTGTATATTTGATTAGTAATTTTGAAGAAAATTAATTTGGTATCTGGTATATAAGATACAAAATAAAATTTTAACGATTGAGTTACCGAATTAATTTTGGGATTGATATTGAGTTTAGGGTACTATTTAGTATTCGGGATTTCAGTGTTTCCATCCTTATTGGTGAGCACAGTACTCTTCTGCAATTTTGTTCCATTTCAACGAGCCATCCGCCGTTACCTTGAGGATCAAGAAAATGGAACCGTAACCAACAAGAAACCTCTCTGGGTGCAAAGAAGACAACCAAACGAGAACATAGAGCACTGAGATGTCTCATGAATTGGTCAGCAAAATCAATCGCCTGAGGTGGTTTTCCCTTTCAGAACCCCACATCCCGGCAGCAGCTATCTTATCTACAGCTTTTCACCTTCCCCCAGTCAATCTCCCTACCCTCTGTATCCCATATATGACTGACTACCCGCTGCTACAAAATTTTCACAGTAAAAGAAAGGACTTTGTTTCTTGTTCCCTCAAAACATTAGAGACTAAGAGAATAACTACTACAACTAACTATTTGATGGTATCACCCATGGCACAAGGCAGGCACGGAGGATTCGATGCTTGTTCTCGAGGTGTTATGAGTTCCAAGCAGTAGGTATGAAACTGGTGGTGACATGGCAGTACAGATACGGGTGGTGGATTTCTCGGCACAGTCATGGCGCCTTCCGGTGAGAATGGAAGATCCCTCTTGCATAGCAGACACTTGAATTCGCTTGGTGCTGGATCCCCTTCCGGACCTGCAATCACCACAGGCAAACGACTCTCTTGTTACAACGAAGAAACTTCTCAATTACAGAAAGATAGATACGAGCCACCATTTTCAGGTACTCTGGAAACAAGGGGGACTGGTTTGGCTTAAAATCTTCTGCTGCCAAAAGTTCTAATCTAGTAAGCCGAAAATCTCAGACATGGATGTTAAATTTAAACTTCTAAAGGGGCAAATCTTCGGCATACCTTGCCACCTTATGTGCTCCATACTTCTAGTTGAGGGTAGAGTGCGCGACACAGTTGGACCTCGAGGCGGACGATTAGCAACGGTTGGCGCCCTAGCTGGTGGATGCAAAGGAACAGATGAAGCTTGAGATTGTGGAACATCTACTCTTGGAGCTTGCGGCGGACGGTGTGCAACTGTTGGTGCTTGAAGTTGACGGTGTGCAACTGTTGGTGCTTGAGGTGAACGGCGAACAACTGTTGGTGCTTGATGTGAAGGAACAGCTGGAACTCGGGACTGAGGTAAAGCTTTTCTTGAAGCTTGAGGTGGATGTACAGCAACAGTTGAAACTTGGGGTGGATGAAAGCCAGCAGTTGGAACTTGTGCTCGATGCAAGGCAGCAGCAGTTGAAGTTTGAGGTGGATACAACGGAGTTCCCAAATTGTATGACGTGCCGAATGGGGCATTCCAACCAGGAGATGTTACTGAAGCAGTAGCACTGGATGGTGATGATTGAACCAAATTGCTAATCGATCTTTTTCTGCGTGCAGCTTGTGCAGTATCAGATCGAGATTCCAGCATGCTCCTTTTCCGAGATGGTCCAACAGAAACACTACCAGATGCAGCAGCAGGAGGAACATTAGATACAAGATTGGGAGGTGTACTTGAGATACCAGCTCTATAAGTTGTTGTAGGTGGACCTCTTGATGGCTGTACTGGAGCAATGGCTTGAGGCAAACCAAAATCACCTAACACAAACAGTTATCACTATATCAGAATGCTTGTAACATATTATTTGTAGAATTCATGGATATACACTGAAATCATTATTTGATGACCAACACTACTAGCTTCGCTATGCATACACTCATATTGCATTGGAAACTTGAAAACTGTGTCTAAGCCTTAACGCAGGAGCTAGATAAATGGTTCAGGTTTCACCAAAAAAAGATAAATGGTTCAGGATATGAGTTAAAGTACTAAACATGAAAACATACTGTACATGACAGTTTGAGAAATTCTAGCCAACAGTAATAATAACATTTAAGTACTGTATCAACTGGAAGAATGTTCCAGCTTAACTTGTTCCGTTTAATATACACAGGCCAGCACAGGTACTAACTGACAAAGCAATTTCACCAGGGCAACATATGACTTATTTAGCTGCAATGAGCAGAAACATTCATCAGCACAGTCACAAGCTTTGGGGGAAATCTAACATGGAGTTCTGAGGACACAAGAGTGATCACCTGTCAACTCCTGGCTATTGTTGATGCTTCTTGTAACTCCCATAGAAGGAGAGTTGAAATAGGACCCCGGTGAGAAGTCATTATGAGACCCTAAATAAGGATTCTTTGTTTGGTAGGAATCAGATTGCATGCCTCTGTGCATCGATGGATTTGAGTTTGACGACGGGAACCTAGCCAAACCAGACTGTTCATAATCACCAGGAAAACTAACCTGGTTACTGTTATGTAGTCCTGGAAGCTCAGCTAAAGAGCCCCAAAAGCCATCGGTAGCGTAACTATCTTCTGATGCTGGTGCAGCTCTATTCCCTTGAAGTTCCAGATCCCAATTGGATGGAATCTGATAAGCATGGGGCTCGAATACAAATGGTGCAAGGGTGTCAGCATCACTGTTTTGTGGTATTCTGGAAGAGAAACCCATGTTCTGTAGGTTGTTGGGAAATCCACGAAAGTTTTCAATTTGAAGCATTGCATTTTCAGCTGGTTGAGGAAATGCACTGAAATTCTGTAGTAGCCTTTGATTATCGATGTTCTGAGCTCTACGAGGGACTTCATTATGATGAGTGGACAATCCACTCTGAAATGCAACTCCACCCACGTTTGGTTGTGAACGGGTAAATATGTCCAGATCATTCCCAAAGTTAGAAAAACCCATATCATACAAACTGAAGGCCCTTCTATCAGTGACAATCGCCCCAGTGCTGCCTACACTGGAAATGGCATCTCTAGGCCTATTCTCCATGTAAGATCCTGCTCCGAGTCCAAGAGTTGGAACATTTTCAGAATGCATCTCAGCCTGAACCGATTCATTAGCACGTATTCCAGGTCTAGTCTTTGTGTCAATAGTTGAACCACCACTGACATCATGTACTAGCGAGCCTCGGTCCGTGAAATGTGTTCCCGCCATAGTACTCCACCCGATTCTGGACTTCTCAGGATCATTGATCTGTGGAAAAGCCATCATCTTGTCTTCTGGAATCATGGCATTCTCAAGATAAGGGTACCGATTGTACCGATTCACATTCTCCTCAAAAAATGGGATACCTGAAACTAAAATGCATCAATCATCATGACACTAAACACGGAGATTGAGAGAAGATAATGCACTAAGAGACAATTCACCAGCTGTTGATGTGGCAGGCAGCGACCCCTCATGGAGATAATTTTGAGGCAACGTCATAGGCTTAACGTCTGTCTGGGAACACGGAGGCATACTGAACTCAGACTTTGGGGCCCCTTCAACATGATTTTGAGGCATTGACAGTGCATATGCGTCTGGGACATCAGGGAATAGAGACAACGTATTTCGGGCTCTACCAGTTAGACTGGCTGAATGATTTAGATCAATGGATTCAATTTCTTCATTCAGATCAGGAGCAGAAGTTGGAAACCACACTTCTTGTCCTTGATTCATTCTCCGGCTTGCCATTGCATGACTTGTTCTAAAACATATAATAAAAAAAAAGAGCACTGGATTAAGAGTGCATAACCAAAATTCAAGAAGGAGAAACACCCTGACCGGTATTGAATCTCTTTCACAGTCTAGAAATCATATTCTCATTTGCGAACAGAAGGCAAACCAGTAGCAAGAGAAACAACATTTCTACAACAGAAGAAGGATGAGAAAATCATAGAATGACGCATAACAATCTTCTCTCCGCTACAGAACCAGTGAGACAGGAACGAGTACTTAATCATACCAGCAATAATTAGGAACCCTTGAAAACAAATCAAAATTTACGAGAAATGAAGCGGGGTTCAAAACCCCTCGTATCCAAGAAGCAAAGATGAAACTGATCATAACCACAGTCTCAGAGAGTTACGCAGATAGCTGGAACGATCTTTCTCCATCCGTCTTCAAATGGGAAACCCCATCAACAGTCCAAAACCCAGAACCACCAAACAGTAAAAACCCCAAAAAACGGAAAAAAGAAAAGGGGGAAAAAATCGCCGAAGAAGAGAGTTAAAAGAAGAGAATCGAGAAGGCTCCTAGCTAGCACCTGTGAACCAGAGAGATAAACCCCCGCGACAGGTTCCTGGAGAGATTGTTACAGCAGAACGCAACCGATTAAGGAAATCAACAGCGAAGCACACATGTACCAAATCGATGATCATCCATCAATCAGACTCATCGGAATTCCAGAGCAAGAAACGAGAATCGGAAATGGAAATAAAAACGAAATGAAAATACGAGACTCACCGGAGTCGGCGCCGGAGAGAGTGATCGGTTCCGAGGAGCAAAGAGAAATGAGCAGAGCGCTGTGTTTTGGCCTTTGGTGGGTGTGGGTGGTGGTGAGGGGGATTTGGCGCTTTGAAGTCTAGTCTAGGGCTCTTTGTCTTTGGGAAGAGGAGAGAGGTCTTTTTAAACGGTTCGGTTTTGGGGCCCAGTTGGCGTTCGCTTTTCCCTTCCACGTCGTCAACGTAGGGCCCACCGGGAAGGAAACCTCCTCTCTGGCTTCGCCGCTGACCTGGCCATGTGGCAACCGGACGGTTCTTCTTCTACTCTCAGTCGAGGGCCTACGAGAGTGGCATTGTTCCGTAATTACTATTGAACTACGAGGGGAGGTTAAGGGACTGGAGATATTTGGTAAGTTCCCGCCCTCGCTTTGAGTTTGGAAATTCGGTGGATCATGGATATTTCTCTTTTTTTTATCAGACTGGGCCAGGCCCAGCAAGCAGCCGGGCTTTAGCCCACTTTAGGAGTTGGATTCGACAGCCAGTGACAGTGAGTGTAAAAAGGAAAAATAGAAAGGAAATATATATGAGTTTATGAGTAGAGTTAAAACTTTTGAGAGGATTTGATTTTGGTGATAGTTAAATTGATGTATTGTTACATATATGTATAATTAATAAATTGGTGTATTATAATTTATGTTGTTGGGTATCTGCGAGGGCTATTATAGTATCTAAAAAATATATATTAAATTATCGCAAAAAGTATAATTTCACTCAAATTATATTAACTAATCTCATTTAGATGTGATTTAACTATTTCTAGTTTGAGCGATATATTTTGTTATATCAAGCAAACACAGTTTGTATTGTTTGTGTATGTACGTGAGCAACGAGACGGGCCGCCCACGGACTAGCACAGTAAGGTTAGAGCACAACACGAGCATGGGTACGAAATATATGGGCCGGGCCGGCACGAGCACGAATAATTTACGGACCATGTCGGGTCTAAACTTCATGGGCACGAGCATGGGCACGAAATGATATGTTAGTGGGCCGTGCCGGGCCTAATATTTTTAGACCTTCTTGAGTATAATAACGAACATGGCACGAAAAAATATTTATTTGATAGAAAATAAATATAAAAATAATTATAGGTTTAAATATTACAAAATACAAGTACAATAAAAATTATTTACTGTTATTAGAAGTGATCATAAAGATATATACTTACTTACTACCATAAGTAAAAATGTACGAAGTATTAAACAAAGTCAAATCCCACTTGCCATACTTCCAATTTTCTTTTCCCACTTATTTATTATATTTCTAAAATATTTTCGGTTAATACTTTCATTTTCTATTCAATTTGTTCCTTCTTTTTCATTCCCTCTTTTATTTTCTTCCTTCTCATTAAGCACACGTATGAGCAAGGCACGAGCACGAATAGACACAATACTATTCAAACCATACCCAGGCCCGGGACTAGCAAAATTAACAAATGGACTGACACGACACGATAGGAAAACTGATGGGCTGTGCCAAGCACGACACGAAATAAATGGGCCTGAAACGTGTTTGTGCCGCCCAAGCACGACCAGCGCCCATGTACATTTGTATATCAAATTCAAAATATATATATATATATATGGTGACTACTTCGGTGCACTCACAAAAATGAGTGCGTTCAATGCACCCAACTCAAAAACTAGTATTAAGGTGTCGAATTTTGAATTTTAATTTGTAGAATTAGTTTAATATGATGATATAACATATGATAACAACTAATTAGCGGATTACCCTAAGCCCCGGACCTCCAATTTTGAGTTCTATCTCTAAACCCCAAATTGTAAACCCTAACTCTAATCATAAATCTCTAAACTCTAAATCCTTCAAATTTAAGTAAATTTTTAATGGTTCTTGTGCAAATTCATGTGCGTTATTGTTCATCACATAATAAGTGATGATTGACGTGATTTTGAAATAAATTGCATGTTTAAAATGACGGTTATGAAGTGAGTGCACTGAATGCACCCAAAAGAGTGAGTGCACCGAAGACGCCACCATATATATATATATATATCTATATGGGAGGGGGGGGGGGAATATAGGCATTGTAACAATCTCACCTAAAAGATAGAGATTTAATTATTCATTAAGTGAGTGATATCTTTTGTCACATCAACCAAAAAATGGTTATATTGTTCGTATATCAAATTTAAAATAATATAAATGAGGAACAATAAACATTATAATAATAAGAAGGGTTAATACAATATATTAGCCAAAACTATTAAACAACGGAAAATAATAGCCACAATTATTGAAATACAAATTATTAGCCACACGTTAACTCTTTGTTAACAATTCCGTTAGTAATGCTGACTCAAATTTATGATACTGAGTTGAGTCCCATGTGAGCGTCACCATATCATATTTTCTAATTTTAATATTTAAAAATAAATTTCTAAATAATTAAGAAGAAAAAAATGTTGCTCCCTATTCTTCTTCCTCCGCCTAGATTTGCCAGCTCTTTCCTCCTCCTCTGTGGCTCTGTCCACGCCACCGGCAAGACACGACTCTGCATCTACTTGTCAGCGCGAGATGGCCTCGCCTGCAATCGCCTGAATCTGACGGAAAAGAGGACGTCGTATTGACTCAAATGCTATTCGAGCTCTCTCCTTCTTTCAAGTTCGGTTTCATGACGAAAAATCTTGTGATTCTCCTTAAAATCCTCCGACGGCGGGGTGTGTCAACACCCTTAGTTGGTCGCACTAGTGCACCACCATCTCATTCCCTTGCAGATCTCCAACACCTGTTCCACCGTCGCGGGGCACCTAATGGGATTGGGTTTCATGAACAATTTTGGGAGAAGAGGCACAACTGGGGCAAGCTTTAAAAATTCCCAATTTTTAAGTTAAGATGTTGCTCCAATTTTTACCAATGCTGGGATGTCTTTTCATGGAAAAGGTCTTGACTCTCTCTCTCTATGGTCCTTCTGCTCACATTTTCTAGTTCTTCTACTACTTCTCTCTCCTCCTTGCCGCACCGCAATCCTCCTTGCCGTCGAGTGCCGCCGCACAGCAAACTTCCTAGGAGACAAAGGAGAGATTTTTTCCAAAACTAGCACGATTTAAAAAAAATTACAAAAATAGCACCCAACCCCAAAAAATTCCAAAAATAGCACAATTTCCCATAGACCGCCACCCTACCCAGTGGTTTACACGAAAAACGCAGGGTGGGGCGCGGTTTTCATTGAAAACCGTACAATTAGGGGACGTTTTTCATGCTCGCATGGGTTCAGACCGGTTTGGTCCAAAACCGCTGCCCCACCCAACGGTTTTGGTCCTCTTTTTTCCCGAGTATTCCTAACCTAGGTGGAAACTTCAAACTAATGTATCTTTGTGTCCGGGTATACGATCGTAGCGAATTTTTTTTATTTTGTATAACTTTTCGAGATCTTGCAAGCTGCAAACAGCCATAAACACTTTGGTCTCGCCTTCGTCTCGGAAAAACGTCGTTTGCTATCCCGAACGAGCTTTTTTCGATTTCGTCAAACTTTGTGCGGCCATAATTTTGTGCTCCAAAATCCGAATGTAATGAATTTTTTTTATTTCGCATAACTTTTTAAGGACTACAACTTTTTATCATAGACATAATTTCGGAATGTACAAGGATTTGTGAAAAGGGAAGGTAAAGTTATTCCCAAAACCCTATATATCCAAAAATAATTCATGTGTTGAAAATCCATTCCTAGTAAAAATTGTAGTCCTTAAAAAGTTATGCGAAATGGAAAAAAATTCATGATGTTCGGATTTTGGAGAACAAAGTTATGGTTGTTCAAGGTTATTGAGGATTTTTAGCGTTCAAGGACTAAAACTTTGTCAATATGTAATTGTTTCAATAGAAGATTTGTAGTTTGGTGGTGTAGATGTTGTGCTAAAATTAGTAAACTATTTATTATCTGGGTTCGAACCCCCACTCCCACAACATGCTGTTTTTTTTAATCTCTACTAAATAAAAAAATTTAATATGGGATGATGGTGTTTCAAACATAAGACCTCCTTCACACAATAAACAACTAAACCAATTGTGCAAACACAACTAATGTCATTTTTGCGAGAAAAAAATATTATTACAAACCGTCGGGTGGCCCCACGCGGTTAGCAAAAACGCCCCTTACCCGTGCGGTTTTCATTGAAAACCGCGCCCCCACCCTGCGGTTTTTGAAAAAGGGTGCTATTTTTTATGATTATTGTGTGATGGATGTTGTGATGATTAATTATTGTGGATTGTGATGACTTGTGACTTGTGTGGTGGATTGTCATGCATTGTGTGAATTTCGTCGATGCTTTTGACTTGTGAGTTGATGACGATTTTCAATTCAAACTAATTATGCAAAGAATGTGTTAGAATTCCTTAAAATTTCTTTGAATTGAGTTTCAATTTCTCAATTTGTGTAATTATTTCTGTAGGGCGAGACCTCCGGCTCCTCGTGGTTGACGTGACGGACGAAGTGCCCCTACTGTTGAGACTGCTCCTTGTGGTGGGAGACCTCCGACTCCTCGAGGTCGTGGTAGTGCGTGTGCTACAGCCCCTCCTGCTCAGACCCGGGGTCGTGGTGGGCGTTTAGGAAGTCGGCATGTTGAAGCTGTTGAACCGTCTTCATCTACTCCATCGAATCCCGCCCCTGTCAATAGTGAAAGTACACCGGCTGAGACTCCAACTGTAGCACGGCTGCTCCGACTTCAGCTAAAGTTAAAGGTGACAACTTCGACATAGAGAAATGGCTGCAGACGGAGGGTAAGGCTGAGTGCTAGAAGGATTTTAAGAAGGTGGTGGTTGACAAGTATTGATGACTCGATATTTGCACATGTTTTCCCCTTGTTTCTTGATCGTTTGAGCTTTAATTATTGCGTCTTTGGCCTATTTTACGCTAGGTTGTGTTCCTTTTTCACATTTCAGGTCCTAGCACATAAAGTGAAGGATAGGCGCAAGTTTCAAGTCAATCAGAGATCAATTGGCGATTAGGGAGAAGAAACTCGGGCATGACCTGAAGAAGAATGGATTTCTACCTCACTTTATGGACAAAGAATCATGCAATCTTGTCATTAAAAGAAAGAGGACGAGACTACGAGCGTCTGGGATCAAACGGCGACTGATTCGGAGTCCGGACGAGGGAGAAACGAAGCATTGAATATAGGGGAACAAGTTCGGCAGTAAAAACACGGGCGCGCCTAAATCAAAACACGGCCGTGCCCATATTTAGGCACGACCGTGTTTTGGCCGACGCGCGCGGGCGTGTTTTTAACACGGGGCAAAACACGGGCGGGCAAAAGCAAAACACGGCCGTGTCCTCGATAGTGTTTTGCCCAGAATCGGGTTTTTTTAAGCCAATTTCGAGCCAAAGGAGAGGGAGAGCTGGGTTTTGGATCCCAAACACCCAAGGGACGAACCAAAGAGAGAAAGGGCGATTTGAGGGCATTCTAAGAGTGGAATTGGAGGATTTTTTTGCCTTGGAAGCTCGAGGAACAAGCCCGGACTTGAAGAGTGATCATCTGAAGATTCTTACTGCAGTCTCTCTCTTCTCTATGGAGTAACTTCCCTTCACTTAGGTTTTGAGGAACCCTAGCTATGTTTGTTTGATTGGATGATTGTATGAGTACTCTGACTTGATAATCTTGAGTTCATATTCAATCTATGCATGTTTTCATGATTCAATTCTGCTTTAGTCGAGATTATTGATTCTGCTTTGATCCTGTGAGAGGGGATACCTGATTAGGTCAATAGAGCACCATAGATTGATAGTAATGGATCGATTGCTTTAGTCGAGGGTTGATTCACTGCTTTGTATCGATTGAGTACCTATTTCAATAGAGGGAATCTAGTTCAGAACGCCTTGATCGGTTGTTCTAGATAAGGATACGTCCCTCTAGGCAATTGACTCAAGAGGGCCTTGTTCCTTTAGTCGAGACTCAAGGTCTAATCATCAATCGTTAATCTGGCTAGTGGCTAGGGGGAATCATACCTAAGTGAGTTCCCAACCTGTAATTAGATTAACTTTAACTATAGTTTGTTAAAGTAGTTTTAGTTCTTCCATCTTAATCTGGTTTGCTAGATAATGAACTGAAGCTGAGTAATAGTAACTCTAGAGACCCGTGGATTCGATATTTACTACTTGAGCCACTATACTGCAGCCCCTTTCATTGGTTACACTTGGCCTTTGTTAGGAGTTGTGTCATAGCGAGTCAAGTTTTTGGCGCCGTTGCCGGGGACTTTCTAGAGTATTAGGAAAGGCAGAAGTTTGTTACTTTAGCGTTTTTCTTTTCTTTTCCACCCTTGCTTTTCACTTGGGTGTTTTTGTTTCTGTTGGTGCAGATTTGAATCATGGATCCTCATGGCTTCTCCAATCATTGGAGGTATCCACCACCATCCGAGTGGTATTACCCCGAGACTCCCTGGAGCAATCAAGGAGGAGAAGACTATGGATTCGGGTTCCAGTACCAACCCCCTTACTACGGAGAACAACCAGACCCCTGGGCATATCAAGAACAACCTCATTATCAAGAAGAATTTCTCCCACAACCAGAAGGGCCATCAGCGCTGGAGTTACCCATGGCAGCCTTCACGGGCCATTCTGCAGAGCCATGCTACACTCCACAGCCAGATCCAAACTATGAATTGAGACTTCTCATGGAACAGTTTGCTCGAGACAGTGAGAGAACATGCTCCAGGATGGATCAATGTGTCCAGGCCTTTCGTGAAACAGAGGAGATCCTCCTGAGCCTTAAGAAGAGCGCCGATGATCTTGAGCGATCTTTGGCACAACCTGCTCCAGATCACCCTTCTGCTACCATACAAGAAGAGGAGGAGGACGAAGAAGGCTACAAGGACATTGTGGAGCACACTGAAGTTGTCACGGAGAGCTCCCGTGATGATCATGATCCGGAGTGTCCTGTCGTAGCCGACTACACCTTCCCACATCCCAAAGTGAGCTTTGAAGAGGCGGGCATGAGTGAGGAGATGCAAGAAGATCTCATGAAAGAAATTGCTTGGCAACTTGCTCTCCAATCGGTGCTAGAAGAAGAAGAGCAAGAAAGGGTGCAGAAAGAAGTTGTGGAGGATGACGAAAGTGAAGCAGGAGGAGTTCTTGATCATTTCCCAGGGGTGATACCACATGAAGAAGAAAGGGAGGTTGAAGAAGAAGAAAGGGAGGTTGCAGAAGCAATTGGCGTCCAAGCTGAGGACGAAGTTGAGGTGGAAGAGGCTTGCACCGGCTATGAGTTACTTGTGATATCTCCACCGAATTTTGAGGAGCTGCTTGGCAAGGACCCATTTGCAGTGTCTCTTTGCCAGACCAAGGCCACATCGACATCGGTCCCTCTTGGTGGACGCGATGGTGGTAAATCGATGCTGTCATATCTAGTTTGGGTCAATGAGACGAGAGGAGAGAAGAAGAGGTCTCGAGGGTGGAGACTTCATCTGCATCAAGTGCATGAGCCTTCATCACCTGCCACACCACATGCTCGTGACTTGAGACTCCACCTTATCGACGAGAACCTCAACTTCAAGGAGGCTTTGGGGTGGACCGAAACTTAGGAACCATCGTCCGGCTCACGACGTGAAAGAAGCGCTTGTTGGGAGGCAACCCAACCAGTCGGTTTGCATTTCTTTCCCTATTTCTCCTCGGTTGAGTCAGTTTTGTTTTTTTATTTTATTTTAGATTCAATAACTCAACCTTTGTGAGATTTTGTGTGGTGTTTGTGTTCCGACTACTCTCTCTTCCTGGAATGCACCGCCTGCCCCGTCCACCATCATTCACCCTGGATCTGGTAACTTCGTTCTACCCTCCTTATCTTCCTCCATTGAGGACAATGTCGTGCTTAAGTGTGGGGGGATGTTCGATTATGTATGCGGGTGAATGTTTGGCTGGTTGTGTGCTTGGAGCCTAGTCCACTGTCCAAATTTTTAAATTTGAGGGCTCCAAGTACGTGTTTCCTTGCAAATTGCCTGCTCAGTATGCTTTGAATGGATAGTCTCTATAGTAATGTGCAACCTAGGGAGGTAGTGTAGCACTATGGAGGATGTTGAAGTATAAGATTTTTCTATCTAGCTCTCTGCTGTGCCAGTTGATTTTGTGAATTAGTGGAGCTAAGACCGTTGAATTCATGTGGTAATGGTGACTCTATTTGGATTGTGTTATGGACTCGTGTATCGAACAGGGTGCTCATGTGAAAAATGAAATGCAGTTGGTCCTCCATGTCGAAATCATCGAAATCTTAAACATGGGGTAAGCCCAACGTGTGCGGCACCGTTCATTGCACAAAATCGGGTTTTGGAAGAGATTTTAGTGATCCTAAGTGGGGTACTCCTACAAGGTGAAGCTAAGCTGTCTCTAGTACAAGTAAAACTTCCACCCGTTGAACGGTTTGCCTACTTGAGGATGTGTTTTTAAGGGCACGGATAGAGCTTCCGACCCCCCTTAATTTCATTGACCCTCCACACGAGTTGAGGAAAAGGAGTTAAAAGAAGTACTCTGGCGAGCGCCAGGTGTACAGAAATTGCTCTTGCTCGACTAATAAGGGTCGACCGTGCAAAAGACTGCAGTTGGAACCCCCGCCAAGTGAATGAAAAAGAAAAAAAAAGTAAAATGAAAGTGAAAAAGGGGTTCCAACGGTGAAATGAAGTGAAAGAGAACCCCGGTACAACGAGTCCTTGGTTGTGAATGGTGTGAGTCCCTTTATCCATGAACTGACTGTCTTACTTCTACTTCTTCTCATGATCCTGGCTTGAGTCTAGTACTCGCATTGAGAGAGATAGGGAACGTCTTAGAAGACCAGTTGACCTCGTAAGCTGCTATATGATCTAGGAAATCCTCTACCGACGATCAGGGTTGTATGTTGCTATAGAGGTCTGGAGAGATGCATTGGTTTGAGTTAGGTTTGCTTGGGGACAAGCAAACGGTTAAGTGTGGGGGGATTGGATGACTCGATATTTGCACATGTTTTCCCCTTTGTTTCTTGATCGTTTGAGCTTTAATTATTGCGTCTTTGGCCTATTTTACGCTAGGTTGTGTTCCTTTGTCACATTTCAGGTCCTAGCACATAAAGTGAAGCATAGGCGCAAGTTTCAAGTCAATCAGAGATCAATTGGTGATTAGGGAGAAGAAACTCGGGCATGACCTGAAGAAGAATGGATTTCTACCTCACTTTATGGACAAAGAATCATGCAATCTTGTCATTAAAAGAAAGAGGACGAGACTACGAGCGTCTGGGATCAAACGGCGACTGATTCGGAGTCCGGACGAGGGAGAAACGAAGCATTGAATATAGGGGAACATGTTCGGCAGTAAAAACATGGGCGCGCCTAAATCAAAACACGGCCGTGCCCATATTTAGGCACGACGGTGTTTTTGGCCGACGCGCGCGGGCGTGTTTTTAACACGGTGCAAAACACGGGCGGGCAAAAGCAAAACATGGCCGTGTCCTCGACAGTGTTTTGCCCAGAATCGGGTTTTTTTAAGCCAATTTCGAGCCAAAGGAGAGGGAGAGCTGGGTTTTGGATCCCAAACACCCAAGGGACGAACCAAAGAGAGAAAGGCCGATTTGAGGGCATTCTAAGAGTGGAATTGGAGGATTTCTTCGCCTTGGAAGCTCGAGGAACAAGCCCGGACTTGAAGACTGATCATATGAAGATTCTTACTGCAGTCTCTCTCTTCTCTATGGAGTAACTTCCCTTCACTTAGGTTTTGAGGAACACTAGCTATGTTTGTTTGATTGGATGATTGTATGAGTACTCTGACTTGATAATCTTGAGTTCATATTCAATCTATGCATGTTTTCATGATTCAATTCTGCTTTAGTCGAGATTATTGATTCTGCTTTGATCCTATGAGAGGGGATACCTGATTAGGTCAATAGAGCACCATAGATTGATAGTAGTGGATCGATTGCTTTAGTCGAGGGTTGATTCACTGCTTTGTATCGATTGAGAACCTCTTTCGATAGAGGGAATCTAGTTCAGAACGCCTTGATCGGTTGTTCTAGAGAAGGATACGTCCCTCTAGGCAATTGACTCAAGAGGGCCTTGTTCCTTTAGTCGAGACTTAAGGTCTAGTCAAGGATTCTCCGCATTGTGAATGAAAGTGAAACAAGTTAGAAATCATCAATCGTTAATCTGGCTAGTGGCTAGGGGGAATCATACCTAAGTGAGTTCCCAACTTGTAATTAGATTAACTTTAACTGTAGTTTGTTAAAGTAGTTTTAGTTCTTCCATCTTAATCTGGTTTGCTAGATAATGAACTGAAGCTGAGTAATAGTAACTCTAGAGACCCGTGGATTCGATATTTATTACTTGAGCCACTATACTGCAGTCCCTTTCATTGGTTACACTTGGCCTTTGTTAGGAGTTGTGTCATAGCGAGTCAAGTATCCAATGGGAGAGTGCAGGCATTGTCATACTCAAATCAAAGCTCATCCTTCCAAGAACAGGTTGTTCTACAATGAATAACCATCGACATTCATGTTTGCCTGAGGTGGCAGCATCGAGCAATCGGACTGTTTTGAACTTGCAGACACCGAATGGTAGTTCCAGTCAAGTAAGTCTTTTATGGAAGTTTGATCAAGCAAAAGCTAGATATGCCTTGATGATCATTATGGATGAGTTGTCATTTCATTTTGTGAAGAGGGAAAGGTTTAAGCAGTTCATTCTAGTTGTTCAGCCACTATTTAAGATACATAGGAGGAAAGCTATAAGAGATGATTGCTATCATATCTTCTTGGAGAAAAAGTGCATTTGATTGCTATCATATCTTCTTGGAGATTACGGATGGCAACAAAACCCGAACCCACGAGTACCCACCCGACCCAACCCGGTCAACGCGGGTAAAACCCGTTAGAGCTGCAGGTGCTGTAGCGAAACTTATTGCAAAAGAGGGGAAATCGGTTGACGGGTTTTGCGTTGGGTTCGGGTTTAAACCCATTCACTATTCACCGGGTTGGGTTTGGGTTTAGGTAAACCCGCCCCATGGGTACCCACCCACACCCATATAATTAATTTTCTCGGTATATTTAATATTCTAAACAACTAATCTTATTTATGTTTGGGGAGACATATCTAATTTTTTCTTTCTAATTGTGTATAATGAACTTGATGTTATGGAGTGGAGAGTGAAGAAACTTAATTGACAAGGAGGAAGAAGCTTTCAATTAATCGTGTTATTTATGGATAATTTGTGATTTGCCTCAATTTTCTTGAGTTTTCTAGATTTGTGTTGAACAATTTGTATAGTTAATTTGTGATTTGCTTGAATTTTCTAGAATGGTGTTTTATATATAGATAATTTGTATTGGGAGATTGATATTCGACTTTAATTTTGATAGGAACTTGTTATTGTAAATTTTTTACGACAAAAACCCGTGGGTACCCATGAACCCGCGGATACCCATCGGGTTGGGTTTGAGTTTTTCAAACCCAATGGGTTTTACCCCGGGTTTTTTTCACTGATAAACCCATGGGTTTGGGTTTGGCAAAACCCGGGCCATTTCCATCCCTATTGGAGATGCAATCTTATTGTAAACTGGACTTTGAAGTTTTCAAAGTTTGAGGTCAACTCAAATTCTTGGCAAGCTTGGCCTAGGGCAGAGGGATATCCCATTTACCCTCTAAAGCAAAAGGCGATGCCAGGGAGACCAAAAAAGAAGAGGAGAAAGGAAGCAGGTGAGCTGGAGACAAGGTTGCATAAGGGTGGAAGGCCTTCTAGTACAGGAATGTCAAAAAAAGGAGTGTTGTTGCATTGCTTAAACTGTCGTTCTACAGGTCACAATGCGAGAAAATGCCCCAATCCTCCTACTGGAAAATCAAACTGTGGCAGAGGAAGAGGGCAGGCTGGAGGGAGAGGAAATCAAGATGGAGGGAGAGGGCAGCAGGCCAGAGGGAGAGGGAAGCAGGCTGGAGGGAGGAGGGCAGCATGCCAGAGGGAGAGGGCAGCAAGATGGAGGTAATTAATCTCGAGAAAACCTTGCCGAACCAGAGGGCAGCACGATGGTCCATCAACTCGACCAAAGGTATGGAAGCCGTTGATGTTTTAGTTTGAACATTGTGTAATTATTGTGTCTGATGTTTGTTTCATGTGGTGTCCTTAGAGGGTCATGCACTGCTCTCACTGTCGGTCAACATCCCATAATGCTAGAAGTTGTCCAGATAAGAGACAAAAACCTCTATGTTTCTCTTGATCCATTGAAGCATTCGTTACTTGTGATGGAGTACACAATCTGATTTTGGCCTTGTTTTCTTGATGTAGACATTAGGAGTTGGGAACCTGCACAGGAATTTGGTTGTTGATGGAGAACTTAGGGCTGCTCTAGGGCCTGATTCTATATATGAAAATGTTGGAGTTGGTACTTCTGCAGAGGGACTTGGAACCCAACTAACTCAGGTTGATACAAATGGAGCTCCCTTAACTCAACCGGAGTCTCAACCACAAGAAGACGCAAATTGAAGACTTGTATGTGGAATGTGTCTTTGTGGTTACTTTAGCTTTTGTCTATAGAACAGTATGTTAATAGGGTGGAGGATTCAAATTGAGATTGTAAGGTGATGTCAGTTTGGTTCACCATATTTTACATTTTGTACAAACTCAATTGATCTTATCCCAAACACTACGAAATTATCTAACGTTGTGGAACAATGTCAATTGAGCTTGTAAAGTGATTCCCTTTGGTTAACCAATTTTGCATTTTGTAAAGGCTCGATTTAGTTTGTCCCAAACAGTACAGATGTAACTCAACATTTTGTACAAGCTTCTTTTGAAACAATTTAGTTTTCATACAAGGTATCTACATGACTTGTTCTGGTAATTGCATTGACCCACAAATTGACAATTGCAGTGTTTTGTAGCAAGGAGTTGAAGTTTTACTTGTTTTTTACACAACCATACACTGCTAAAACTCAATTGGGATAGAACATAACTGTATTCCTACATATTACTACACCTCTCAAACTCCCTGAAATCTACAGAATGCAACATAAACTACGACACCAATTATTATGAACATCAACCTTGTTATCTTGGTGTCAAGGCTAGAGACAATGTTGCTCATTCTGCCAAGCTCGGAAACCATCTTTGCATGACCTTCTCTAGTTCTATTCAACTCTTCTAACAACTTGTTGTTGCTTGCTTCCACTTCCATAAGTTTTGCCTTCAAACCAACTTTCTCATGGCCATGTTCAGACCACACTGATCCATTCCTTCTCATATACTTGTCCACCCATAAAAAGAACCGGCAATCATCGATCTACAAATGAAAAGAAAGCTATTACTAAGATGAATATCATAGGTAAACAAACAACCCAATGTCACAAACAAATACAATTACCTTCCAATTTGGATAGCAGTAGAACCGCCTTCTTGGATTCCTACTAGTACCAGACTTGTTCACGATGCAGGGTTTGTTACAATCGCATAGAGGCCCCACAATGTCATTTGTGTTTGCCGAACCAGAAGATCCCTCCAATGCAGACATCATTCTTCTTACTAACAACAAACATCCCATTCGTGTATCAAACTCTGGTTTTAGCACAACCCTTTCCAAAAGACACTCGTCTACAACCTAATTCAAATAGTTAACAATGTAAAGAGGCAAAGTTAATAGAAGAACTTACCTTCGCGAATTAAAGACAAAAGGTTCGTCAATTGAACCAATCTTCTTTGCTTACCAGGAGGCAAATGTGTTGTTGGCGAGGCAGGGGGAATAAGGGGCGAATCGCAGCAGAAGGTTGAAGTATACCGAAGGGAAGCGACGATGCTGACGATGGGAACCATGGCAACGATGACGACGGTGGCGACGATGGCGAAGGTGGCCACGACCTTCCCTCACTTCGTCCCGTCGTTGCTCCTTTACACAACCCTAGGTTTTGTTTCAGTTGATATAGGGTGAAAATGGAAAGGTTAAAAATTAATAAATTAATTAGTTTAAATCAATCCGACGTGGAATCCTACCTGGCGCTGACGCGGCAAGTTCCGTTACAAATTAACTCACTGTAACGGGCTTCTAGCCATATGATTACGCGGAACAGTAATTGTGGTTAATAATTTGTATATTGATAGTTGTGCCTATAAGTTCCCGAAACTTCATAGTTGTGGCTAATATATTGTTTTTACCCACTCAAGAATCTACTTTCATATTCTCTAAGACCCATTTTTAAGGATTATCACGCTTTACATTCTCTACCATTCGGACATTGTCATCCTGTAAATGTGATTAAGTCTTGCCCAGATCTTTTTATTTGTGATGCACCATAAAAAATTTGAAATTGGTGAAAATGATAAATGATATTTTTATAAGAAATGAAATGTGGCTAGGGATAGCAATCAAACCCATGAACGCGGGTACCCAACCGCCTCCGACCCAGTCAATGCAGAGAGTCCTTGCATTGTATGGGACAACTGGGCAAGTATGGGTAAAACCCGCAAAACATTTGATGGGCATGGGGCGGGTATGGTTTTAGCCTCCCTCGCCTCATACTCATACCCATACTCGCCCCACCGAGAGCATTTCTTCACATATTAAAAATACATGGATCAATTTGTAAACTATCAATGATAGTGAGAGTAACTCCAGAAAATAAATAGTATAAATGCAATTGAGTGTCCACCCAAATCAAAACATAATTCCTTTTCCTCAAGTCTCCATTCACTATTTCACTTTTTCCCCCTCGTGTTAACAAGATTATGTTAGTTAGTTGTTACTTAATAGACACATCAGAGTAAGATAATATTGATTTGGATTATATTGTACTCTATCTTGTAGATTAATGAATATTTTAGGATCATATATTTTGAACCGTATTAAAAATGATTATCTCTTTGTCGACTTCATGATATAGTAATTGCGTTTAATGTTATAATTAAAAACTAGCTTTGATCTCGGCCATTGGCTGGGTGAGTTTCCTTTAACTATTAAATTAATTTTAGAGAAATTTTGTTTATATCTTGAAACTCTCATTAATCTCATGCATACACTATGTTTATATTAATAATTTGTTGTCATACTTGAATTAATATTCATATAGTGTTCAAGAAATATTGTTATTCTTTGTGTATGATCCGAATGTATGGTTTGAGAATTTGGCACGTATATACAAAACTAAATTAGTCCCTCCGGGGACACCCACGATATAGATACAATATAAGTTAGTTTATAAGTGAAAACATTCAACTCTAAATTGAGATACATTAACTTTTGGCTGAATGTATAACATGATCATGTTATAATATTTCAATTTTTTATCATCCCACTCACAAATCACAATGACTCGTTTATCCAATCTTGAAACAGTTAGATATAAAGTTTTACAAAAAAAAAAAAAAATCAAACAATAGTTCATGAAATCTCAGTGCATGAAACACTCAAAATAAATATCTAAACAATATATGTCATTCCATAATTACCAAAATTTAGACTAACGTGCAGCTAATATTTAAAATATTTGGAACGAATCTTACCCAACATACTCAAATTATTTATGCTATGCAACATATATACACTATAACTTGCTAGTGAATATGAAATATAACTGTATTTTTTCTTATTATAAACACGGTGAAAATTTTATATATTGTTTAAATATTTTATTTAAGAAAAATACATATAAAGGAAGAAAAGTAAAAGCACGTTGAAATTGGAAAAAAATCCAAAAATGGAGGAAGTGTTCACCGAGGGCTGTTCCTTTTGTTGGTTGTATTTCTTTTGTTTTTTATAACTAATTTGATTGGCTAGAGGCTGTGTTGACGAGGAGTCGTGGACACTTGAGGGAATGAGAATTTTGAATTCGTGAAGTCTTTTTTGAGAATCCCCTTATAATATTCTTTAGATTTACATGTAAAATTTTAAGTGTTATAATGTTGGATGTACGAGGTGGGTATTACTACGACCATGAGTATCCAAACCCATAGATATAGAGATAAGTTTGCAAAACCTTCCTACCTATGAATATGAGGCGGGTATAAATTATGAACATTGAAAGCGGCCGATAGAATGGTATAGGCAACCCCGTCCCCAATACCATCCCGCATGAATCAGGTAGTATCCGGGGATGAAATTTGCGTAACTTTTCTATCTCGCAATTTGGCCAAATTTGACCCGCAAATACGCAAATGAACACCAAAGCACAAAAATCCACACCTCAAACGTCGTTTCAAAAAAGTTCAGTACCAAAATGTCTTTTGTGAGACCTTTTCGAGCTGTCGTACTTCGGATAAACGCCAAATTCAATCGAGTGGTGGCTGTGTCATCTCATCATCTCCAATCTCCGCCGCTTAGATCCGTCTCTCAATCAATCCATCTCCGCGATGGCGGCTATATCACTGTTCTGTAGCTCCACCAAATTCGCCACCACCATCACTCCATGGCGGCCCTAACCCTCACTTCTCTCACTAGTTCCTCCCTTCTCAAACCATCCACTCCTAACCTTGCTTTCTTCACCTCCCGAGCCGTTTCCAAACCTCGCTGCTCAAACACAAGGCCCGTCATTACCGCCATGGCCGCGACTCTCATCGCCGTCGCTCCTCCCAAGGTGGTACCCGCCGTAATCGTCGGCGGCGGCCGCGTAGGCCAGGCTTTACAAGGCATGGGCACCGGTCAGGACTTCATGGTGAAGAGAGGCGACCCTGTTCCAGCTGATTTCGAAGGCCCAATCCTCGTCTGCACGAGGAACGACGACCTCGAGGCTGTTCTCGAAGCTACCCCAAAATCCAGATGGAGCGGTACCCACTTTCGTTAAACTCCGAATTATTGCTCGGTGCTCTGATGTAGTAATTGGGATTTCTGGGGATTTTTATTGTGTTGTTGTTGTTCACAATGTAGCAGATTTGGTGTTTTTCCAGAATGGGATGCTGGAGCCGTGGCTTGAGAGCAAAGGGCTGGGCGATTCTGCAGGCCAAGTGCTGGCCTATTTCGCCGTGGCCAAGCTTGGAGAATCTCCCACCGACGGGAAAACTGACACCAACCCTGAGGGATTGACCGCTGCGTTTGGGAAATGGGCGCCTGCTGTTGCCGAAAGGCTGCTCGCCGGTGGCCTGTCTTGCAAGGTAAACACTAAACACTAGCTCAAAAGGGCTTTGACTCTTTTTTACAGTTTTGTATTTGTTAGCTCAAAGCTTCATGATTTTTCTGGTTTGTGATGGTCAGGTTCTTGATAAAGAAGCTTTTCAGAAGCAAATGCTGGAGAAGTTGATCTGGATATCGGCTTTCATGCTTGTTGGAGCTCGCCATCCGGGAGCAACTGTCGGTTCTGTGGAGAAGGATTTTCGTTCGGAGGTGATAGCTAAATTGATAACGGTGATCAGTAAATGGCGGCAACTATATTGATAGTGTTCTGAGAGCAGCCTGGTATGTTTTTTTTTTTTCTTCTTTTTTCTGTCAGGTGTCTAGCCTGATTAAGGAACTTGCCTCTGCCGCGGCTGATGAGAAGAACATAGTGTTCGATGAAAATATAGAGGAAAGATTGTGTGCTTATGCAAGGGCAGTAGCCCACTTTCCAACTGCAGTTAAAGAGGTGCAGAATTCTTTCCTTGTAAACTCTTCCTTCCAAGTATACTTTTTTATGCATCCTCTGTGCCTGTGAGTGTGGTAACATTGAAGAACCAACTAATCTGCAGTTCAAATGGAGGAATGGCTGGTTTTATTCCGTCTCCGAGAAGGCGATTGCTGGAGGAAAACCTGATCCATGTCCCTTGCACACTGCATGGCTGAAGGAGATCAAAGTCATCTAACCAAGTCGCAATGAGTAGTAATCAACAGTGTATTTTATCCAGTTTAGCTTTCCTTTAGTTAGTCATATAGAGAGGGGGTTGAATCGGGGAATTTGCCTTGATTCCTTTGTGTTAGTTGTCTGATTCCTGAAGTACTCTTATGTATGAAGCATTCAAAATTATTGTTAGTGAAATATGATAAAACTTTATTCAGAATCCAATTCAAATTCTGGAAATCGAAACACAGGAACACCGAACACATCATCAGACTGAAATAGTACTTTTGCATGCAACTTATTGAGAACGAATTAACATATTTGCGAGCATCTTCGCGATCAATCAAGTAAAGCAGGAGCTGGCATATCAGTTGTGTCTCTAGTTCATCAGGATTTCATCGGCTGTAGGGAACGAGTGAGACATATGAGGTACATACAGACGGAACATTGCAGAAACTGTAGTTAGAGCAGAAGAACTGCAAAGAGCAGAGAAAGAAAGATGTCCTTTTATACCTGAATTTTCTCTAATTTGTCCAACCCAAGCTGTAACTGTAATGGTTTATTTAGTGAGGTTGTTCTCGCTAGAGACATACAGTACAGGTGAATCATATATCATGCTACCAATTCACTATATCATGCTTACCATAAGACAGTATCTATCTTGCCACAAATCTCCAAATGACAAAATCCATCTCCAAGTAACCAAATAGGGGAAAAATTCCAAAATGCTCACGCTTATTAAAAAAATTTCTCAAAATACATAAGTTATAAAAAATATTCCTAATATACACATGTTTGGACTTCACCGCAGCCGTCAACCGCAGTGAATAACATCACCGTAGTCGTCAAAAACGATAAATGCTTCACCGCCACGATCGAAAGTGGTGAATACCTCCTGACCATTCACCGCTCGTGTCTCACGCGGTGATGGTCTATTCCAAACTCTGTTCCCACCGACGAGCCTCTCTTCATTTTCACTCTTAATACCATACTCGAGAGGCTGGGGCTCATTTAGCATAATACCATAATGACCATTAACCACTAGTTTTTTCTCAATCATAATACCATACTCGAGAGGCTGGGGCTTATTTAGCATCTAATAATAATAACCATAATGACTGACCTGATCCTTTTAGCTTTTGACATCTCCCTCTCCGACTATGAGTCCGACCCCAATGTCGGCGGAGGAGAAGGGAAGAAGCAGAAGAGGTCGGTGAAGGATTGCCACATCAGGAGAAGAGGGGTCTGAAGGCTGAGATTTTGCGGCGGGTTAAGGAAGGCGATGACGGTGGAAGGCGAAGCGGCGGACGGCGAGGATTTGTGAAAGGCAAAGCGACGGACAACAAGAATTTATGGAAGGCGACGATTGCCCAAAACCTGTCGAAAGCTGAACAGAGATGCACCACCGTGTTGGTCCTCAATCTCATCGCTTTCTACCTCGTCGTCGCCGCCGACAGAGTTGCACCGCCGGTTGTTTAGCTCTGTTTTTGCTATTGGAAAACAAGGGAGGGTGGAACATGGGGAATACTTTTGGCCAACAATTATTTGGGCCATCACCGTGTGAGACACGGGCGGTGAATGGCCATGAGAAATTCACCGCTTCCGATTGCGGCGGTGAAACGTTCATAGCTTTTGACGAATGCGGTGATGTTATTCACCGCGGTTGACGGTCAACCGCTGTGAAGTCCAAACATGTGTAGATTTGGAGTATTTTTTATAACTTATGTATTTTGAGAATATTTTTTAATAACATGTGTATTTTGGGATTTTTCCCCAAATAGGCCACAAACGCCGATGCAATTGCAGATATCATTCAATCATCGATACTAATAAATTTAGGTAAGCAGTTCTGAAAACAAAGACAGCAGAAAGAGTTCACCCGCCGAAACTGATATTACTCAAGCAGAGCAATCGTCAAAATGGCCGATATCCACAAATCAAAACAAGAATTCAGGGCACAGAGTGGCCTAATCTTCTATTTACCAAACACAAGATCTGGAGAGAAAAAAATAGCCAGAACCCTAATTTTTAGTTCTCATTCAGAAAAAAAAACAATCAAATGCTGCGACAACCCTAATTTGCAACAACAATGCCTCAAACCATCTCGCTATCATCTTGGCTGTGAAATATCTTCATCTGATCATCATTCATCTGGTAGCTGCGAGCCAATAATAACCCATTATTGGTAGATTACACGTGGTCCATTACATATCATTATTGGTAGAAGAAGCTGACTCAGAATGAAGATCCTCACCTTTCCGATTGATGAATTGCAGAGGCTAAAGTAGTAATGAGACGATTGTTTGCAGTCACTGCTTCAGAATTTTTGCGGCTAAAGGGAACGTGGGAGCTATATCCACCGGCACCTGCAGAATGACATATAAGTCAAAGAGGAAACAAGGGCTTACATACATTGAAGTGGATTAGCAGAATCAACTGCGAGGATTGATGATATAGCCTACCCTACTTTACCTGAATATTCTCTAGCTTTTGCAATGCCAGTTTCAATGGAGGAGTCAGTTTACAGTAGTTTTGGAGGAGTAGGCTTGCAGCTCCTTTGTCACCTTTTGCTTGGATGGTAAGGATCTCACAACTCAAGCTTTCAACTGCATCATCAACCTTTGCAAAATACAAAATCCCAAGTGTTCTCATCATTCATCAATGTTGAGTTGTTCGCCATTTGATACTTAAATGAACATTTGTTGATGTGCATGTATGTATGTCATTTACCTTGGTGAAATCAACGGAGAAAGTCTCGTCAGGATGCAAGACGAATGCTCCTTTCTCGAACATCCAGTTGAACTGCACCGCTTCTCCTTTTCTGGGAATATCAACAACAATTACAGGGAGATTAATGATGTGAACTAGAAGGATCATTGGATGATAAGAGAAGTAATGTCCCACGAATATAAAAGTGAAAAGGGAGGGTCATGGCGTTGATGATTTTACCCGTGAGCTTCCTCCAAGCCGAAGCGAACTGACCGGAAGCATCCTGCAAGGAAAGAAACGTACATCGATTCCTCTAGGCTCTTTGGAAGCAAACCCTGCAAGGAAGCAAACCCCAGATATAAAAAATTAGAGATGACATCTCCTTAAGCGTAATTTTGCAAAGAGCAGCAACACAGCATTTTAAATTTCAATCCTGACGTGAAGAGTTTTATTCCTAAGCAACCTTACAAACAAATGTACCATGGCATATATAATGTTGTGTATATACAACTACTACAGGGACATTAGCCTAGCGTTTATTCAAATATTTTTTCACATAATTTTCTTGATGCTCCTGAAACACTTCGAGCTGGAGGTTATCGACCAGCATGATCAAATATAATACGGTAGAACGTTGAGGAACTAGTGTGTGCACAGTTCAAAGACTGTATAAATAGGGTTCTGCACTTGCAGTAACAAACGCCGGTATGCCGTTCAACATTTGACAAAGGAGTCAGGCCTAAGCCAAGTTTTAAAAGCATCATACTTACCTGACGGATCAAAAACTTGAGTGCCCAGAGACCAACTATATCAGCTTTAGCTTCTTCCAAAGCAGAGTGGAGTTCTTGGAGCTCCTGTAATCAAAAGAGTACACCCATTGAAATTATCCATATGACATGAAGGCTGTAGAGAATTTGAACGAGGAAAGAGCAGAAAGATGTCCATATTGGTGACCTCAAGATGAATAATCGAACCAGTAGTAGAAATATGTCTGCAAATCAGGTTACCATCAATTTTGACAGAGAAGGAAGAAGATAAAACTTATTGGCAAATGGTGTACTACTCTACTATGGCTTGCTTCATAAGCAAACAATAGTAGAATGGTGGGAAAAGAATGATTAGACTAACCTTTCTTACTGTGGACTTCTTACCATCTGGAAGCGTTATTGTGTGAGGTCCAATACCGTGACAGCACTCATGGCAGATTGTATGTGTAAAGAATGAGTCAAAATCTACAAGTTTGTTTTGTCCCTCAGAAATGCAGGCATCAGCTATAGGTCGAAGAATGTGCTTGAACCTAAGCAACATTTTTATCCAGGTTAACTCCAAAACCAGACATTAAAGTTAAAGCTAGAAGATGGACGTTTTAAGGAAAGAGACTATACTTTGCCTCTGAAACATTCTTAAGCATAACCATTGAAGTTCCGCGATCTTTCACTATTCGTTCGTCATTTGGTAAGTTGAAAGCAACTGTCTGAGGACCCTTAACATCCTATAGTAAACCCAAAGCTGTGAGCCTTAAATTATCAAAATTTGTATTCACCAATGCAAGGTCTGCATACTGCTACAAGCCTACAACTCACCCCAGCATTGTAAAGTAGCCTTATGACACGAATCGGAGCAACATGAATGTCTTTTGATTTGTACGCATTATCCATTGGAAGATTTTGCTCAAGAACCTACATAGGTAGGATCAGTCATAAAAAGCAGCACCAACAGGAATACTCATACAGTCATACTGGGCATACAAATACACCGAAGCCCGAAAGTGGGAAGGAAGGTGTAGCTAGAAGCTTCAACTGTGGATACAGACCTGCAAATTCTCCCCAAACATTTTCAATTGAGCTGTAGCCTTGTCGTCTCGGATTCCAACAAATGCTTCAAATGTGGCCTAAAAATGATAATACAAATGAGAAACTAAAAATTCAGTGTTCCATAACAAGGCAAACTTTTATGAGTAAATCTTATGGGAGGTTACCCCAGGGAATGAATTTATAAAAGCATAAATTAGTAATATTACCTTGTATCCAAAAATTGAATCTTCATATGTCTCGTATGGACCTATTGTTACATCAAGCTTAGAGTCCTGAACCAGCCACACAAAAGCAGCCAAAGTTGTGTGAATTTATGTTCAAAGTTATATGACCATTGGACATTTCAATGATACGTTGTTTTCTATCAAACTCCCTGAATTAATTTCGTTCCTATGGTAGTTTCCTATCTTCTCGGCATTTACTAATCAAGCCCTCACTGTCAGTTTCTGTTAGATTGTTGTTAAAGTGCTCCCGATCTTGCTGCCTGGGTCCGCACAAAATTGGCTAAAAGAAATATTGCTGGCTACTCGTTTGATCAACACCACGATCACTTACCAGTAGCAACAGATCCTCGAAGTTACATGCCTAACCTTAATGTCAAGAAACTATACAAGGTAGTCTCAAAACTCAACTATTGCTAAAAAAAAGTAAAGGTTGCTTTACCTCAGAAATCATTTCTATTTGGGAAAGGAATATTCCTCCAGAGGAAAAAGGAAAGGATGAATATTAATCGGATAGTTCCAAAGACGAATCATTCACTTGAACCAAACCAGTCCTGATTTTGGTACATACACTGAACTCCTCCAAATCAAGCCAAGACTCTCAATCCCTACATTTAGCCCAGTGAACCCACAAAGGAAGGTTTCCTATTTTCAACTGGTCCTTGATCAATAGATCATGTCCCCCAGTGGTGATGGGAGGATGTAAACATCCAACTCAGTCTTAGGTTCGAATTTTGGGACACCATCACCTATAAAAAGAATCTCTAATTATGTACTTAAAACTATGGCCATGGATTTTATAAAAAAAAAAAAATAAACTATGGCCATGGAAAGCACAAATTGTAATGTTCTAGAGGTGGCTACAGAAGTCAATTTAGACATGTTCGCATTTGGAATAACATGAAAGCAGTAGCAGCACTAACCAATTCCATCCAGGCTATGTCTGAATCGTAATAATTGTTTGATAGGAATGCATCAGCCTTGCTATGAAGTAACCTCTTCAAACTATAAACACAGGAAGAAAATTTCAATAAATCTCATTAAGAACAGGTAACACAAGTGAGAATACTGTTTCAGGAGACAGCGTACCTTGGTGAGCTGGCCAAGTCGCCTGCCTTACGCAAAAGCTCAGCAGCTTTTGTGAGGAAATATTTGTACTCTATAGAGTATGGAACAGTAAACAGATCCCCATTATCTGCCAAATGACTTGTCTTGCTAATTGTATGATCCGAGGAAGAGAAGCCTTCACTGTGTCTTTTGATGACTGTGAAAAAGCTTGTCGCATCTTCTTGTTGTGACAACTTGTTCTTCCACAACTCAAACTCCTAACAGTGGGAAATTAAAATCATGTATCAGAATCAAGAAACCAAGACCAATTGAGAGGTTACTACAAGAATCCAACATTAGAGAGAAATGTTGTTAGGAACTTCATCTAAAATATGTCATCATGGTCCACAACCAGCTTCAAGTTCAATACCATTTTGTCCATATCTGGAGGATAGAAGTTTGCACCAGGAGGCTTGAGTGTAGGAAATGCCCCTTTGTACTCTAGACCCTTCCATCCACTTACTGACTTTGTGGCTTCAGGAATCAACCTTACTGCTGAGTCTTTGGTTGTCAGAAATGCCTGATTTTCATCAAGGCAGGACCTAATGAAAAATGAAGCATAACAAACAGAGATCTCACTTATAGTTCACTCAGAGACTTAGCTTGCTTGATCGTTTTGGAATAAGATAATGCCTATTATTTCAGTCAGAAACAATGTCCATAGTCTCAGATACACTTGTGTACATTCACAAAAGGCAAGTGAGGCTTCAACAGATGAAGAAATGGAAATTTTACGATTACGGATGATAGTTTGTTTGAGTTATGGCAGCACATCGAGACACAATAGAGGTAGTTGCAGGTGCACAGACACAACACAGGTAAAATTAACAAGAAGAGCAGCCAGAGTAAGACTTACCATGGTCCCTTGTTGATCATATAATATTTCCACTTCGATTTTTCCAATTCTGAGGCATCAGCATTTGAATTCAACCAATCTCTCAAAGCAGGATTGCTTTCCCAAACCTGAACACAACTTGAGAATGGTCAAACTAGTTTTGCAAACTAAAAACGTTATCCATTCCACAGAAAGAAAGCGTCGAGTTTCATTGAGAAGCAAAAACTAGGACAAAGCTTTCACTAAATAAATAAAACAAATGGTGAAACTAAGATTAAAATGTCAAAAGGGCCTATCGAATCAGTGAAATAAAAAAAAAAAGCAAGCCACCAACTAAAACTATGACAATCCACAGTTAAAATATGGGCAAACCGCACAACAAGCCAGTTTACTTTCGTCTAAGATCCACTCAATTCACTTCTCGTGAACACGGGTTTGGGCCAGTGGTAATACCACTTGTCTTGAATATGAAGGTCCCATGTTCGAATCCTTTAAGTAGCCCCTAATTAAAAACCAAACCCATATCACCCTCAATAAAATAAAATAAAAACTAATGGTTGCTTGAGAAGATTCTACACCATCAACCAATCTATTGGTGAGTTATTTTACAACAAGGTTGTAAGATCACGAAATTCTTAATTGTAGTTAAAGTTCTGCTTCATGTCCTTAATCCTTACATCCGTTAGATAAATCCTCCGTTAAGTAGCTTATATCACAGATGTCATGCTTCAACATAGAAACTTATTACAGTGATCTATCAACAACGCCAAGTTTCACAGAACTATGAACTAATCAGCCTGCATCCGCACAAATGTAAATTAGTGTAGAAACTTGCACTTGAAAAACCTGCAGATAGAAGATGTCATCCATGACTTTTGCAGCCTTAATTATCAAACTCAAAGCCTCCTTGTCTGCATCTGACAGCCCTGTCAACTTCAACAACAAAATAAAGAAAATGAAATGGTGTAAATTTGACATGTTTCAATCTTAACCACTAAGGACCATCATAAACAAAATCACCAAGGACCAGAGCCTAATATAGGAGCAATGATAGCTTACAGCACCCCACGTAAACAAATGCACTCTTATAGGTCCTGCCTTAAAAAATTGCAAATATCAAGTCTTTAACATTGATGCTTCTTGCTAGATGAAGCTTACCAATGATCATGGAGCAGTGCATAATCCTCTTAGAATATTCACATAAATATTTCAGAACCAAATTGGTTTGGCAAATGAAACAGACAGTTGATACATTGTTAGTCGACATTTAGCAGTTTGACATTCCCGAGGCTTATTTAGAGCAGGGGACATGAGCCCCAAAATATTACTCTATCAATCAACCATTATCATGTATCAAGTTGTATCTGTTCACCTATGGAAGAATCTAACAGCTTTACCAAGCCAATAATAAAGTTGAATGTTGAAGTAAACATCAGCATTAGCATATAGAATCCTAACATGTTGAAGAATGAAAAGTCAAGAGATGTACAATCCATATCAAAGATGGTATGAATACCTCATCATTGAGAGTAACAGGAGCATAACGCTGCAGTTGCTTCTGCAGAGTTATATTTTGTGCTTTACTATCTTGGTTGTACCTTGAGCACATGACAGCAATGCATATGATTCAATAATATGAAGACTACAGTTTGAATTGATCAACTAACCCATCCATGATTATTTCAAGGGTCAAGATTAAGAGGAGAGATGATTGTCTTTAATAAAGAAGTTCAGGAGGTAAAAAAATCTTGGCGGTCTCTATTTAAACAAATGGAGATTCGACACAGAGAAAAAATATGTTATAATCAGCTTCAGACATATCCATGTAAAGAGTATCACACTTCTCAATGAAGATACCAATAAGTAGCCCAATACTTCCCATGCCAAATATTATATTTACATACCTTTGCCTAATTATTTGAAAGAGTTGATCGTATGGTCCATTTACATCATACGGAACATATTCGGGATCTTCTTTGGCAAGAAAACTCCTGTACTCCTCGTAGGACACATATTTAACAGCAGATACTTCTGATTCCTATGACAAGAAAAGCCATACAATAGAGAGCATTATAAGATATTTTATAAGTGGCAAGCAACGCCCTCAGGCTGTCCAGTTTAATTTTATTGGAAATGGCTATAAAGCTCTATAATTGACATGATTGACTCTTTCCAATATATATCTTATCTATGGCGCACACAGCCACACACACACAAACACACACACACACACACACACACAAAGTGGAGTTCAAACATCACACATGATATTGGAAGATGTTCTAAGCAGATATAGAATGGAAGGAAATATGACAGAAACAAGGAACAGGCTGAAATAGGAAAAGAAAGGTTTTATCAAAACCTTGTTCCCTTGTTCAGAAATGAAACATAGGAAAGTAACGTACAGTAAACAATTTTATTTAGTTATTTCAACCACCACAAACCTGCAGACAGCATTAAAAATTTTGTTCAAAGAAATGAGTTTCTGATTCAGAAAAGGATGGTAGCATCCTCACCTGAAGAGTAAAGGCCTCCAAAGGAATCGGATCTGTAGTTGTCACAAGGTATACATCGTTAAATTCATTATTGATGAATGTCCCATCATTGATCACACTGCATTAAAATGTAACATCACGGTGGTCAATCGAAATTCTAAGATAGATCAAACTAAATGCAATTGATTAAAAAACCTTTAAAGAAACTTTTGAAGTAAACAAGGGCTCCACTACAAACCACTCTTGAAGGAAAACGAATATCAACTCAAATGCATCTCTAGGAAGGCTGATTCCTAGCTCCTCCTGAAGCTCCCGCCTGCACGCAAACAAACGTAAGAGTGTCATCAAACAAAAAAATGGACAAAGGAGCTAACTGTAAAAGCAGAGGCAAAGTGTATCCCTGAGAAGAAGAAAAAAAAGCATTCACAACAGAAGATGACAGTTGAGATGAACCGAGATGCTGTAGTACATGATTTGCCTGGCTTAACATAACAACCCCATAAACAAAATAAAGGGTTTTTCCCTGGGAATGCCAGCGGAACCACATTAACCAAGATTATCCTTAGTAGAAGAATTCAAACTCACCTTGCTGACACAAGCGAGGAATCACCAGCAGAAATATGTCCAGCACTGGATATGTCCCACTGCCCAGGCCATGAATCCTTACAGTCAGCACGCTTCTGGAGAAGCAGTTGCTGGGTACTCTCAGCAAAAATCCAAACGTGAACAGCCCTGTGATAATCTCCGTCGCGATGGACTGCTCCCCTGCAGTACAGTTCCCCCCAAGAATGAAAATTATATGAGTTCCAAGCCAAGAACGGCGCATTGTCTCATTAACTTCATAGAGGTCAAAAGGAAGATTTCATCCTCCTGAAGAGCAGCAGGATAGTACTTGAATACAAAAACTCCAGAGGAAGAAATCTCGGGGAATTTATATGATCGTCAAACGAGCTTAATTGGCAATTGAAATTGAAGCGAAAAGAGAAGAGGAGGAAGGGAGAGAGAGGAACGTGCCTGGGCTTGGAGACGCCTGTTTTCTCTCCGGTTTTAGTCAGAACGTCGAGGTGTTCTTCCACAACCACCGCTGAAGCATCCGCCATTGCTTCCGTTCTCTAACTTGACTGCTGCAGTTTCTTTTGTAAGAGATGTGAGAATCTGTGGGAATTGACAAGTTGCGTAGAGCAAAGCAATTGTAGGCGACGACCACTTTCTTAATTTATCACCATTCACCAATCCTTCCTTCTCACCAAGGTTCGAACACTCAACAGTCAACACAGAACCATAAGGTTGACAAATTGAGGTTTCTACTTGCAGAAGATAGACCCAATCAGGTGAAAAATATACCTAATAATACCACCCAACTTAGGGGTCATTTGGATGTAGGTTTTGGGTGTGGGATTTGTGCACAATCCCATATAGTGTGGGATTGTAATTAAAATCACTTGTTTGGAAAGCAACATAAATGTCCATGCTCTTTTTGTGTTAATCCTACTTTACCCTCCTCATTCTATTAACCTATCCATCAACCCATTTGCCTGTCGTCGCTCTCAATAGAAGAAAGGAAGTTCAACGAGCGTGTGGGCATCTGAAGCGACCACATCGGTGGCAACGAAGCAGCAGCCCGACGGTCGAGTAGCAGAGGCGTTGGGTCTGCTAGGTCAAGTCCTTTCAGGTTAGTTGCTCTTCTTCGGGTTACAATCAGGATATCTAGGGTTCTGTTCTTGGGTTTTTGCGTGCTGTCGGCTTCTTCTCCCATCTGTTTGTACTGTTGCTTGTGGGTTACCTGCGTAGAACATCATTCCTCGTCAGAGCCAGGTTGGGACGGAGCCATGTTTGTACTGTTGGTTTGTGGCTTCTTCTCCCATCAGTTCTATTTGGCCAGATGGGCAAACAAAGCATGCTCTGTGCCTCTGCTATTTGTGCTCGGTTGCTGTCTTGATGACCATACCCTTTGTCTTCTTTGAATTAATTTGTTGTTGTTTGATTCCATTTATCATTCCAATGCCGCCATTATATCTTCCTTCTTTGTGCTTTTGTGTTGTGCTTACTTTATTGTTTGTTAGTTTGCTTGATTGTATGTGTGCTACTGCATATGGCGGGCAAGCCCCAAAGCTTAGTTGTTGTTAGTATGTTGTTGTTCTTGGCCACGATGTTTGCAGTATAGTAGTTGCTATGTTTTTAATTCAATTTCAATTTTTGATAAAGGATGTCCCGGCTTTCCACGACGTCTGCCACGGAAAGGCGCAAAGTGATTGTTGCTATTAGTGCATTTTGGAACCTTGTAATGATTTATGTCAATTTCAGAATGGAGGTGATGGAACTTACAGAGATGCTAATTCGTAATCCCAGAATTGGCAGGCAGCCCTTAGATAGTTACATGATGCGTCAGTACGATAGGCAAAGGGTGATTGACAAATGTACCAAATTCAGTGATGCCGAGAATCACAGGAAGATTAGGATGAAACGTAGTTTATTCAAGAAGCTATGTGACCTTTTAGTTTCGGATGGTGGGCTGAAAAGGACCCGAAACGCTGAAGTAGATGAAATGGTTCTCATCTTTCTACTGGCTATATCACATAACAACAAAATGCTTAGTTTAGCAGTGGATTTTCGCCGCTCTTCTGAGACGATTGATAGGTTGTTTCACCGAGTCTTACAGGCAATTCTAAGACTCAACAACCAGCTTATGAAGAAACCCGAACCCATTCCCGCCGATTCAACCGATAACAGATGGAAATACTTCAAGGTCGGACACTTTGACTTTCATTAAGACAATATTACAAGCATTTGCAGTATTGTTTAGCTTAATTATTTGCTTCTTTGTCTTAGAATTGTTTGGGAGCTCTTGACGGAACTCACATTAACGCTCGACCCTTGAAGGAGATTGAACTAAGTATCGAGATCAGTCTGGTCATCTCTCCATTAATTGTTTGGGTGTTTGTACCCCAAATTTGGAGTTCATATATTGTTTAGCTGGATGGGAAGGGTCAGCTCATGATGGGAGGGTGTTGAGAGATGCATTAAACAGGCCGAATGGCCTAGTTGGGTAGTTTACTGGTTTCATGGAAAAAAATAAGAATTGTGAAGCTAATGATTGGTAATTACTTGCAGAAACACCCTAACTGTGAAGGTCTGAACAAGAAACCATTCATGGTTTATGATGCTCTGACACCGGTCTTCTGCAAAGGTCGTGCAAGTGGGGATCATGGGGTTGACACCAATGATCCGATCTGCTTAGATGAAACATCAGGAGAAGACGAGGAAATACCAAATATTGCTGACATAGATGCAAATGAGAGGATTTTTGAGGAAATCAATGCGGAGTTAGCTTATGAAAAAAGACAGCCTGCAAGCATGTCACCGAAGAAGAAAAGGAAAAAAGGAATGACTGTTGAAGAACGCCTCACCGATGCGACAGGAGAAATGAGAGATCTTCGCCCTTTGATTAAACAATCTATGGATACACTTGCAAGAGCACTTGGAGAGAGTGATGATCACATCAGCATGCGAGATAATCTCTTTGAGAGCTTGGAGCAGCTTGGGAGGCTGGACCGAGAGGGGATCATTGCAGCAGTGATAGTCCTATCAATGAATGATCGACACTTGATGATGTTCTACAAGATACAAAACGTTTTGGACAAGCTGATGTTCGTGAAAAGGTTAATTGGTTGAATGTAGGGAGAAGAGTTAGTAATCCCAACTTGTATGCAAGCTTTTTTGGGGATTATTAGTCCTTGGTCTTTGTGATATAAACTCGAACATGGTGTTTTTTAGGGATTAGTGGGGGCTGTTGTGATCCCGGCTCAAACATGGAGCCTTTTTTGGGGATTACTTACTCTTCTTTTATGCATTTCAGAATGTTTTTCTTATCTTGAAGTTTTACTGTCAAAACATTATGTTGCATTTGATGTTTTATGTTCTAAACTCTGCAACTGGAAATGATTTCAGTTTGTCTGCAGCAAGATATAAGCAGCCATTTTGTTAGACCAGCTGGAAGCTACTCTTGCATTCTTATTTTGACATTTCTATCCCAGTGTTGCAGCAAGATATAACCAGCCATTTTGTGTAGCTCAACATAAGCACTATGCACACATGCATAATGTCAAAACATATGCAGAATATGTTGATGTTGAATCATGTAATCTTAGTCTGCAATTTTATGATTTCAACCAGTCCGCAATCACATTCTGCAGAACATACTATATATGTTTTCAATTAGTCTGCGGTTACATTCTAGCTTCAACAAACTCTGCATATTTCATTCATGTTTCAACAACTTCAATCCTTACACAAGCAATCCTATTACAACAGGCGCACACAACATGATGTGAGCAAACAAGCTTACATTCCCAGAACCATCCTAACACAACAACCAAGCAATCCTAACATAACATACTCACACAAACAGAACCATCCTAACACAACAACCACGATCAAATAGGATTACATTATGAATAACCTATCTCAACCCAAGTTTCCCTTCAACGCGAGACATTCTGTAACTCAGCTGCGAAATTGCTTCCAACATACTTGTTTCAGTTGAATCACTCGTTCTAGTAATGCTGGACGAACAAGGCTGGTCAACAACTTCACAACGCCGTAACTGCAGTCGGAGTTGCTTGTTCTCTTCTTCTACATCGGCAAGTTTCATACGCAAATTGGCAACTTCCCTAACAAGGTTCCGTTCACGGACTTCCAAAGCATGCACATCAAACCATTTGAAATAGCCACATTCTTTCTTCCCCTGCAAACCAATTCATCAAGTTACAATGGAAGCAATTCAACATCTTGCTCACAATTGATTCAACCACCACCACTAGCCTACAATTTACTCGATCCCAGGACCCCATTTGAAATAGCAACCCTAAATTGAACTAACTAAAACGTGATTCCGTTGGATTCAGAGGGATTACAACGTTTACCTTTATTTTCTTCAGCGGACACGAGTAAAATTCTCTATTTGGGTTCCTGGCGGAGTGAGATAACTCCAACACGGCTTCCAAAGGACAGTCACACAGTGGTGGATGCATGTTGGCTTTGGAGATGGCGGATGAAGAACGGCGCCCTACCGACGATGATGCTGTGATCGACGAACGACGGCAGCTGCTGTCCTCCAGAGCGTAGCGAAGGAAAGGATCGATAATGGTGGAAGAAACCCTAGCAGTTGTCGAGGAAAAGAAATAGCAACAGTGAACGGCCAAATTTGGGCCCTTGTACAAATAAATAGGGAAGGTTAATTATGTAATCTTGCATTCTCATTTTATAAATGCCACATATGTTTCCAAACGTGTGATTTGCCTAAAATTCCACACAAATTCCACAAATTAAAAACTAGGGTTTTAAACCAGTGATTTGAGCCAAAATCCCACAAATTAAAAACCTGGATCCAAATGACCCCTTTCTGAATTGTTGTACCTATGCCACTTATTAAGGAGTAAGTTTGGAAGTTGTGATTGTTAGAGTTGTGTTTGTTGAATACATGTATTGTGCACAATATAATATTTGGAAGTGCCAAAGTGTAAAACAATGCATGTATTATTTTAGGTGGGTCCCACCAACAATCACAAAAAATTATGCATTATACAATGTCAACTAAAAGTTGAGATTGTTGTGATTGTTGCTTTTAGATTTGTGTCAACTTTTTCTTTCCGTTTATATCCCTAATAATTTTTGTCTTATATTAAAAGTTGATGGTAAATATGACATTTCTCCATAAAAATAACTTAATGTAAATTAATGCATAAAGTAAAATCTCAACAACCAAACAATGTATTGTTAAAATGCATCCATTGTATACATGCATTTATATTATGGTGATTCGTTACAATGCAACGATTTAGCATTCGCAACTTCCAAACGAACCCTAACTAAAAAATTATGCATGGAATTAGGGATGGCAATTTTGACCTGACCCGATTTACCCGACCTGTTTAACCTGTTTTGGGCGGGTCCGACCCGCCCCGTAGGCAGGGCGGGGCGGGAATGGGTACCTCTCATCAAAAACTACCACTGTTTAAAAAAAAAATTACAAAAATACCACCCATTTCCAAGAATTTCCAAAAATACCACCCTTTCCCATAAACCGCATCTCGAAGGAGCGGTTATCAATCAAACCGCGCGGGCAAGGGGCGGTTTGGCATTGGGCAGCTGACAAAACGCGCCTCCACGTGGCGGCCCATGCAACCGCACAATGGGCAGGCGATCTGACGACCTAACCGCCTGCCAGCGGAGCGATCCGCGTCACCCACGGGAAACCATTGCCCTAAGGCGCGGTTTGCGTGTTGAGAAACGTAAACCGTGTGCTGGAAGCGCGGTTTTGTGTGGGGTAAAAAGACCAAACTGCCCCTCCAGCACGCGGTTTTATTCCTATATAAACCCACCCCTTCCTCCCATTTTCTACACACCAAACCCCCATTCTCCTCTCTCTCTCTCTCTAAGTTCCTCACTCTACCCATCCCCCTCCCCCTCCCCACCCAAAAACCTTGGAAGTAGTTGTTTTGTTGGTTGCGGCTAAGTCCGATCTGCCTTCAAAAAACTTTTTCTTTGGTTTTCACTAAAATACCGTCGAATCTCTGTCCGGATTCTGAAAAAATGGTCGATTTTATCCAAGAAGTGGGTATTTACTATGATGATTATCAAGCTGTACGTACTCATTTTACCCAATTTTTGTTGTTGTTATAATGGTTTATTTAATTTATATACTAATTGATTTATGTTGTTGTTATGCTATCGTAGGTTGGGCCGGATGTTGATATATACAATCAACGATATTATGTTGATCAAGGACCGATTGATCTGACTATTTTATACGATCAATACAATCATCGTTCAAGAGACGTTCGGAACGACCACAAGGTACATATTATTTATCATCACTTGTAATTTTTATTTTGTTAACGTAATTTATTTGCTTGTACAATAAGTTACTTAATTGTTAATCGTATTGATTATTTTCATTAATTTAAATCAATACAGCAACACTTATTTAGACTTTTTATAAAGAAATGCATGTCTAAGGAAATGGGGTCTTAAGCGATCATCATGATCCTCGCATTACCTGGGAAAATCGGGTTCTAAGCGATCTCAGATCCCCCCTTTTTCTGCCAAACAGACTGTGTTTCCAAGGAGATGTATTGCTATAAAATGTCAACCGCGTCGTTGAACCTCACAAAACTGAAACGACATATTACGTCGACCTAATCCTATATAAGGTCGACCTAAAAGTGCAGATTAGGTCGACTAATGCTCTATAAGATCGACCTAAAAGTACAAATTAGGTCGACCTAATCTTATATGAGGTCGACCTAAAAGTGCAAGTTACCGTAGCAAAGTCCTATCATTTGACCAAAGGGTTATAGATATAACATGCCCCTCTACTATGTCATTTTATCAAACATGCCCATCTACTATTTTTTACATCAATCATGCCCCTATACTTTGGAAAAATGATCAAACATACCCATCTATTAAAATTTTCATACAAAAACCGTCAACCATGACCGAACCTTGTTTGGGCAACACAAATGTCTCAAATATCCCTAATAAATCCAATTTATAAATTTTTTGGTTCTTTTATATAGCCAAATAACTAGTAATTTCACTTTATCAAGACCTAGAGAAATAAATCAGGGGACAAAATTAACATATTTCCTCCCATTTTCTAATGTCGGGTCGTCTAAAGCTCGGTTCAACCATGATTGATAATTTTTTCAATAGAAATTTTAAAAGAAGGGCATGTTTGATAATTTTTCCAAAGTACAGGGGTATGTTTGATGTCAAATATAGTAGAGAGACATGTTTGATAAAATCACATAGTAGAGGGGCATATTATACCTATAACCCTTTGACCAAACTATTGTATTCCAATAACTCGAATTATATAAATATAAGATTAATTATAAATCTTATTAACATATCTTGCCTACGACCGACTTGATGACTTGGAGATGGGCTTCACTAGTAAAGTTTTGGCATTTTTATCAACTTATATCACAATATTCCATCATTTCCCAAAGTACATGCTTTCCTAAAAATCCAAGACATAATAGCCAAAAATTCCAAATTAACATAGATTAACGATCTCCTAATGAAGGGCAAGTTTCTCTCTTAAGAGGATGAGATGGAAAGATTGATCACCATCTCCATTTGAAGATTCTATTTTCGAAACCAATAACCAACAACCAAAACATCACCGATCTGCTAATCTTGAAGGGACATCATTGCTCCAGTAGCCAGCTACAGCTACTTCTAGTGTCTAGTGAGATGGAGATGTCTAGTTTCAACATTGAAATGACTTATGATCTGCAGCCTCCCATTTGTTAATCCTCATCTTCTGAATCTCTTCCATGATCCTTTGCATTCCTTTGTTCAGATGCTTAGTGGGCAGAGATTCGGGTTCAGGCTCAACTGAATTGCAATCTGCAGCAACTTCTTCCTTCTTCTTCTCTTCCTTTCCACCATCATAGTCATCAACTCTTCCCTCCAGAATGCTCTTGATTTGTTCCTTGAAGAACTGCTCTTGGAAATCCATCTGATCAATTCACATTACAGGGTTCAATACCATATTTTAGCCCCCAAATCATTTCAAAAGATCAGATCTTTTTTTCTTACCGCTTCCTTGCTCTCTTGATGCTGCAATTGGATCTTATCCCTTAGCACTCTGGTTTCCTCCTTTGCCATCCTCAGCTTCTCTTTCAGTTCCACTTCATAGACAGACGGTGAACTGACACGTGGCGGCGGCGGGCGATTGGCGGGGAAATGTCTGCGATTGCTGCTGGCGCCCGAGCGATGATCCTTATTATAATTAGGATTAGCCACCGTTTTCTTCTTGTTGAGCTTCTTCGTCTTCCCCTTCTTCTCGTAGTACCCGTTGTTGACCCGCTCCCCGCCGGCGTTGACATTTATGCAGTCAAAGCAAACGCAGCTGCAGCCGCCATTCTCGTCGTAGACGTTCCTCACCACCTGATGGTCTTCCTTCCTCTCCCTGCAAATCTCGCAGAAAAAGAGGGACGATTCCCCTGCTTCCCGCTTAACTCCCGCCTGGAAATCGGGATATGGGCCCGACGGGATCTGATTTTCTGCCGGCGGCGCAGTTGGTGAAGACGGCGCCGTTTCCGTTTCGTCGGCAGCGGCGGCGGGGGAAGAGTCAGAGCTGCTGATGATTAGCGACGCCCGGAGAGCTTCCTGGAACTGGAGCTCCTGAGCCAGCTCCGCATCCAGGGCCTCCAAAAGAAGCTGCTCCTCTTCTTCTTCGTCGAAGAACGCCGAGAAGCCGCAGTCGGCGGCGGGTTCGTGGGGGTTGTGGTGGTCTAGGATGACGACCATCGCTGTTTCGACGGCCATGGGTTGGGGATCGGGGTGATCGAGATGGAGAGATAGTGTGAGGATTTTACCCTAAGGGGAGAATGGAGCTGGAGCTGCAATTTGGCGGGGGCAGCGACCATCGCTCCCCGCCAATTTAAGGGGGAGGAATCAACTTGGCGTCGAAGTAGTTGGGCGAATATATTATTTGATTTGATTAACCGCTTATCCATGGCTGCTTTGGGAGTGTGCTGGTGCTGGCAGTGTGGGACTGTCGGTCGACTGTTCTTGTGTCCTTTTCCATAGGGTGATATCGGGTCTGCAAATGAGCCAAGCCACTCGCGAGCAACTCGGCGTTCGATTCGAAAAAAATTCGTTCGACACTCGACTCGTTATTTAACAAGCCGGCTCGCGAGCCGACTCGTTAGTAAACGAGCCAAACTTGAGCTATACCATGTTCAGCTTGATAAGCTCGTGAGCTAGCTTGACTCGGTGGCTTGTTGAGCTAAGCTCGCGAGCTGGCTTGTTTAGAGCTTGTGGAAGGATTAATTACTCTTTTGAACATAAAATTATCATGTTAATAAGGATGTGAATGAAAGTTAAATGTTATTTTTAGTTTTTAGTGTTCTTTTTATCATTTTTAGTTTCTAATATTCTTATTTGTACACATTTTTCAACAAAGAATGATTTCAAATCAAGCTCATCTTGAGCCGAACTTGTACTCAGCTTGACAAGCTGTGTTAATGAGCATTTATCGAGTTCTATCGAACCGAGCTCGAGCTGGATTATTTTTAATCGAGTCGAGCTCGAGCTCGAGCTAGATGATCAAAATTCGAGTTCGAGCCGAGCTCGAGTTGAAAAATTTATAAACGAGCCGAGCTCAAGCTGAGCAAAAACTCGACTCGACTCGACTCGTTTGCAGCCCTAGCAGCTACACAGTTAAACTAATTGGATCTAGTACAGCGCTTCGCGCCGGGTCGTTGATAGAGGCGTCTTTGCTTGATAAAGTTTGTTATTAGCAAAGACCAGCTCGTTTGTGCTTCGCGATATTTGAAAATCTATAATTATGATTTTAGAATTATTGTAGTGTAATATGAAAAGTAAATACGTTGGTATAGCAAGAACACTAAACAATAAGTGTTACAGTAAACAAAAGTAAAACATTGATCAAAAGTTACTCTACATGGACCTAAAATCAAGATCGAAACTAAAGATGAGGCACTAAGTCAAACAACATTCATACTGCCAGTGCATTCAATCACAATCCAAAATCTTCCCATAAACATTTGTTGATGTTTCTATGCTTCTCCTCCGCCTTTTCTCTAGACAACTGAGGTGCCTGGTTCTCCTCTGTTCTTAGGCAGCAAAATGCACAATGTTGGGAGGAAAGACAACACAATTACCCAAATCAAAGATAGAAAAGTTAATGATCCTGAGTTTATAGGAGGTAAAACTCCTATGAAGTAATTATAAAATGACCAAGAAAAGAGGAAACCAACAAATTTCTAACACCAATTATTAGCCTTCTGCAGGAACCCCAAATTCTACTCATATATAATAAATACCAGCTCAGACATGTTCCCCTACACCCTTTCGCTATCCCTTTCGTTTATGCATCTTAATTAAAAAGGGATTGGATTTCTTTCCAAATGCATGATGGAATATCAATATGTGTTTAGGACAAAAGGATTCTTAAAATGTCATCACCAGCTAATGCCATTTTGCAGTAACCAGACAGTCCATTTACAGTACCAACTCATATATATATATATATATATATCTCACCCACACCATCATGTCATTATCCCTTTCGTTTCCTCGTCCTAAAAAGGGACTGAATTTCCATTCATAATGCATATTGAGCAATCAGTATGTGCTTAGGATCTACATGTATGTATGCGTTGATTAATTACCTTTTCTATGGAGGTTCACATACATGTATGACAGGCCTAGGAGAAGTGTGAATTGTGTCATTCCCATGATCCCATCAATCATTTTTCTCCCCGGTGGTAGTGATTATCATATCTTTTATTTTGGATGCTATGACAGTAGAGAAATCAGTTCCTGAGAAAATGAAATTCATTTATTTAAGTTGTCACTCTTGAGCAGCAAATAGTGCTTACAATTGATAGACATATCTTAGTTAAACAACACATAGTTCAATAGTTAATTGAGCAGTTGCAGAACTAAATGGCAGCATCAACCAACTTTCATGAGTTATAAAAACATAACATGCGTTTCATGTTTGAATCAAATTTGATTCGATTGCAAACACACATGAATTTGGGTTCAATTGTTATAAAAGGACATACTTAAACAATATGTTTATTTAAAAACAATAAAAAATAGGTTTAATACACTTGTATATCCAAAACTTTCACGGTTGTGCCAATAATATCCAAATTTCCGAAATACCACTTATATCCATGTTTTAAAGTTGTTCTTTGCCAAATCTATCCATTTCCCAATATATTTGTGGTTAAATACACTTGTATATCCAAAAACACCGTTAAAGAATGTGAAGCAATTGGATATAAGTGGTATTTCGGGAAATTTGGATATTATTGGCACAACCGTGAAAGTTTTGGATATACAAGTGTATTTAATAATCCTAGGTGATGTAATAAGCTAATTAATTAGAACCTCAATTGCATTAAAGGCTTGAGAACAAGGGAGCCGAGTTTTTAACAAATTTACACTTACACAACACCTAAATTACAAAGCGTGTAAAAGTCTTCCTCTACGCAAAAGTCATCAAAACTTTTTGAATTAGATCAAATACCCATTGACTTGGTTCAAATGGGTTCAATTGTCATAAGCTAATTAATTAGAACCTCAATGGCATTAAAACCCCTCCAAGTTTTGGCTAATTACAAAAGGGTCACTTATTGGATGTGACTCCAAGGAATAGTAAAATCTTGCTTGTTCTTTTAATAAGACTAGCAACTAAGCCTGCGTTCTGCTGCGGAGAATGCGTGAACGACTCTAAGTCATCATGTATAATTTATAATTAGTTACAAATCCAATAAACAACAACGTTAACATTTTGCTTTATATCATAATAATAAATAAACATAACAAATAGTTAGAATAATTGAAAAGCAATGATATATATGTATATATGCAAAGTACGAACCATTTTGCAGTCAAATTAGATTAGAAACCCAATAAATTATTATTATTTCGGGGAATTAGCTATGCTAGGCATTGTGAGTGATCCGAGTCCTTTCCATGAACGTATGACCTTGCATATGCTTGTCCTTTTTATTCGGTTCCACGCTGGTAATACAAGTTTTTTAAGATGTACACACCTGAATAAAAAATAAGTAATCAATAGTTGAATTTTTATCTTTGTTAATTACCATAACAAATAAATGGTGCATGACTTCAATGACAATATAGTTTTCTGAATGACAGCAAATTATAAAAGATGTACCTCAGTCTTATTAGATTTACTAATTGGAGGAAACAAAAGAGGTGGAAGAGATAAATTCACATGTTATTGCATGTTAAATCACACTCTTAAGCATAAATTTATAGTGTCAGCAGACATAATCATAGTTTACCTTTCATCAAGGAGACTCTAAAATATAAAGATGTATATCTCTTATACTTAGAGATACTCTATAAATTGGTTTGTGAGATTTTTGTTCATCCTACTTTATATCTTTTTTATTTATTTGTCCCACTGAATACCTTTACTAATTAGTTGTTAAAATTTTTCGAATCACTATAATTTTGTTGGTTAAGACTACGTCATGTGTAAAAAAATATTATTTATTTTTTTCTTTATGTTAACAATCACAATTAACAAATAGTGAAATTTTTAAAATGTCTTTTCAACAATATGAAGAAGTAAAACCTTTCGATTGTTTACAATCTAGAAAAAGATAACAATTATCCAAACGAGCCCTTATTCTTATTATAAATAGAGTCCATGTTATCAAAATAAATCCGGGAAAAATAAACCTTAAATTTGACAATCAAAATTAGAAAAAGCTACAGAATACTAACATCAAGTTCAATTCATCATGAAGATAATCCTGCGCACATCAACACATTACTGTCGACGACACGCTGAATGATTTCCAACAACAATTACCATTCTGGTTACACAACTAACCATAATCGTGCATATATAATGGAGAAGTAAAGCAAAAATGTAAAAAGCATTGACAACCGACCACCATGTCAATGGTTCCGATCGTAATGATGGCCAACATTCCGTTCGACCGTAAAATAATGCCCTAGCTTTTGAGTCTTTGAACATAAGTGGGTCTGCCAGGAGGCCGTGATGATGGTTGTCAACCGCGTCTGATATCAGGAGCCGAGATTGCGATTCACTGTTCCTCTGTTTATCATCGCCAACACCAGGGGCGGAGCTACGTAGGGACTCGGGGGGGCCCTGGCCCCCCGAGAATTTTGAAGATCGTGTTAAAATACGACGAGAATTTGAAGTTACGTATTAATTCAGATACATGTATATATAATTGTATTGTGCAGTTTGATTGTTGAACTGGTTACTTTAGTCCAGCGGAGAAGTGGTCTTTTGTTATATAGGAGGTTGTGGGTTCAATACCCATCAACAACTCCTTTTTTACTACTACTTGTCTTTTAAGTTGATTTTTCATACTTTCATACCTAATTTAACTTCAAACTAGGTAAATTTAATTCAACTTATACATTTATATCTTCAAAGATAATTTTAAATATATAGCAAATAATTCAATTATTTTCCCATTTTTTATAGACATTCATTTGTTACTTATCATAAATTGAAGAACATGGTGCATTATTTTTTGTTGAAATTTATTTAATAATTTTGAACATGTCGTTGATACATTTTTTTTAATGTAAATCATATTTTTAGTGCTTATAATTATCTTAAATAACATTTTGTGGGGTGACATCAATATTTTTTTTATGATAATAAAATTTTCGGCCCCCCGAACTTAAAATCCTGGCTCCGCCCCTGGCCAACACCATATTTCTTTGATGACGTCGGGCATAAGTGAGTGGGGGCGACGTTGAAGAACACAGACGATTACAATTCCGGGGTTGTGTGGCGAATACGCTTCCTGGGGATACCAATAGCGACGGTTCAGATAAGTATTCCCCCTTATTTATTATTATTATTATTATTATTATTATTATTATTATTATTACTATTTCTTTGTATTCCATTTATAATTATCCCCATAATTTATTTTTTTATTTCTTCCAATTAATCTTTTCAACGCTTTTCATTTTTATCTTCTATTGCATCATTTTTCATAATTATTTCCTACTTAATTATTTATTATTTGTTTAATCCCTTATAATTTTTTCCTATTGATAATATTCACGGTTCCTATATATAATCATGCATAAACTTCTTAGTCAAGCAATTCTTGGATATGAATTTTGAGGAGTTATATCGCGATTAGATACCTAGAATTTTTATCATCAAGTATATGATACGTATTTAAAGTTACCAATAAACCTATGTCAAGTTGCATGAGTTGTTGTCAAGGAGAGGAAGGGAAAATAGAATGGAATAGTTGGCTAGCTTCTGTTACTTTTGCAAGCAAACCAGAGTTGAAGTACATTAAATTGGACACGACAAAGTGAGAATTATTGGGGTTTCTATTATTGTTCTTGGTATTGAACTATTACTGTCATTATATAGCTATATTTTATTTTCAAGAGGTAGATGCGTTGACCTAATGAGAGCGTAATGACCAAAATAAAATTATGTTTTTGTCGTATACCCGCATTTCCATCACCAACATGGTGTTCATTTGGTGGCAGCAAGCAAGCATCATTATGGAGAACTCCTATTGTGAGAGAAATGAGATGAAATTAGAATAATATATTTGGCAATGCATGTTGGTCTCTTTCAAACAGTTTAGTTTACTGCATACAGTGACCAAGAAATAGCATTCTATTTCCAGCCCTTTAAAGCTCGTTGCTTTGGAAGATGATGCATACAATTTATTTTTGCTCCCCAAACTCGTGTGTTTCTCTCTTGCTGGTTTTTTTTATTATTCTGCTCTCGTGTCCTATAATTGCTGGTGTTTCTTTTTTTAATCGCTCCGTCGATTGTCTTTTGTCTTTTGAAGGTGCTCTGGCCAAGCTATATAATTGTGAGAATCCTCTTCAAAGCCAGGAATGTTTTATAGGAATGAATATGGACAGCTATTTGGTGGTACAAGCACATGCAATGGCATTAAACGTATCCAATAATACACTTACTACACATCAACAATATACACAAACTATAGGGACCCAAGCATAGTATATGTCTCTTTCGCATTGAGTACAAGTAGACAAAACAAAAAAGAGCTCACCTAGACGACATTAAAAGCGTACAATAATGCATGTACGGGAAAACAATAGTGCAGACCGACTATAGGGACCCAAACATAGTGTACGTCCCTTTCATATTGAATACAAGAAGACAAAATAGAGGAGAACGACCCAAGCATAGTGGATGCGTTAACATGTATATATGGATGTGGTTGTTTGATCACCCTAGCGTGGTTCCCATGAAAGTGCTTGAAGATGATATAAAAATATAAAGGAAGAACTTGAGATACACTATATGCTAAATAGTTCAATTTATCACATATTCAAGCCACAATTATTTGGCTTCACATGAAAATTTATCACTATTTGTAAGTGTTGAACTTTTGAACCATCACAGAAATGCAGACCAAGTCGAGCATTATGTTGAATTTTTCTAACAGGCTAAATTACAAGTTTGGTCGCTTGGTTTATCAATTATTTTTTTGTGTTAGAGACTCATTTTTTTCCATGCTTGTAATCATTCTCTTTGAAGCTCGTTACATCATTGGTCATGGGTTTTACAACTCCATTAAAATTATCTTATATAACAAACAAGTATAATGGTTAACTGTGAAGCAAATAATGTGAATTAAAAATCAAAACATATATAGTACAATATTATTTTGATTTATCTCCGTCACCACCACAAAAAACCTAAAAATCCCACTGCCGGAAACCCAAAAACTCCCTTTCAATACAGCCTGATCAACCAAATTGTATCACCAAATACTCTATGAAGCATATAAAATTCACACTCAATATCTTTTACAGCTTCCTGATCTTTCACTCAATTTTCCCGGCAACTAAACCATGAATTAGAAATAATAATAATAACATTAGAAACTAATGTTATTATTATTATTATCGTCATCACCTCAATAATCACCATTACTCGCCCATTCCCCATCAGTAACAACAACTCATAATTAGGATTATTATTATAATAATCATCTTTTCCCTCCACCCACTCGTATTCCCCAGCGACACCAGGAAAGAAGAAGGAAATAAATATAAAAAAAGGATAAATCCCAAGACCCATTACTCTTCCCCAACCCAACGGTTCCCCAGTAATTTCCGTTACCACCCCGACTTCTCCCTTAACTCATCGGATCCTTTTTAATCACCCCACCGAGAGAAGCAGTGGAACCATAAAGAAAATAAGAAACTCGTCGGCCAACTCCCACCCTCCTCCATCATCGGCAGCAAACGGAAGAAGCTGCTCGGCCAGCCTAGCAAAACCGGCGTCAACAATAGTCCTACCCCGATCGCCCAACCTCAATGCTTAAATCATCACCGTCGCTCTCGGAATTTCCACGTTGTGTTGTAGAGGTAAGGTCCCCGATCCCCACTGTCCCCAAGCTCGATCATTATACCCCGAATAACCCGAAACGCCGCTTTAATCACAGCTCCGTCGACGACCCCAACGTATTCGACCACAACCAAGCTTCGATACCTTGATTCCATCGTGTGAAGGACGATCTCAGGAACATCCAAGTTTTGACGAAATTGAATTTCAACGTCCGACGAGGAAGATACGAGCCTCGAAAGTTTGGGACGCAAATCGGATAGTTCAGGTATCGATTCTTTCTATTCGAAAAATTAGAGGATTATTTATGTAAATTTCTGAAGAGGTAATGGTCAACTCGTTGACTGGGAATTTACCAAATCGGTACCTGGTACTTTGAAAACTAACAGAATGTTTGTTTTTACCATAACTCGATCAATTGACGTCTGATCGAGGAACCGTCTGCGCCTATGTATCGTGAAAGTGAGGAGAATATTTCGGGATCAAATATGGAAATTTTATAGCATAATCAGAGTTTGTTTCAACGGATTCAAGGTGAGTGTGAAGGGGGTAAATTCTACGCCTTACGTATTCTTTCAAGTTTGACGAGCTGTAAGTACTTGATGAAGTGATTGTTATTGCTTGATTGTGTTTATGATTGGTGAAATGTGATTTTATTTGAGCTATGTTTGAAGTGAATGTGCATGAGTTATTATTTACTTTAAAGCTTTACGTTTATAAGTTATGGTTAAAGTTTAAGAAACAAGTTCTTTTTAAGAAGTAACTCACCTTCAAGAAGGTGAAGTCGTTTTAAGTGTTTTTAGTCACTAGCACCAGTCCTTTGCCTTTTGAGACATTTTGAGATAGAGCAGCAGTTATGCTCTTGAGACTTTTAAGATGAGCAGCAGTTATGCTCTTGAGAATCGTGGTGAAGAGCCACCACGATAAGTTTAAGATGTTAGGGGGATGAATCGTTACGACTCC